CACGGCGAGGTAGTCGGTCACGCCGGAGATGGTCGAATGCAGCTGGCCGCCTCCCAGGTCCTCGGCCGAGACCACTTCTCCCGTGGCGGCCTTGACGAGCGGTGGGCCAGCGAGGAAGATCGTGCCCTGGTTCTCGACAATAATAGTTTCGTCGCTCATTGCAGGCACATAGGCGCCGCCAGCGGTGCAGGGACCCATAACGACGGACAGCTGAGGGATTCCGAGGGAACTCATGCGGGCCTGGTTGTAGAAGATACGCCCGAAATGGTCCCGATCCGGGAAGACATCTGCCTGGTGAGGCAGATTGGCACCGCCTGAATCGACGAGGTAGATGCAGGGCAAGCGATTCTCCTGGGCCACAGCCTGGGCGCGCAGGTGTTTCTTGACGGTGATCGGGTAATACGTGCCGCCCTTGACGGTGCTATCGTTGGCCACGATCATGCAGTTGACGCCTTCGACTGTGCCGATACCCGTGATAATGCCACCAGCTGGCACATCCTCGCCTTCGTAGACTTCGTGGCCGGCGAGCGGAGACAATTCTAGGAAGGACGTGCCGGGATCGATCAGGGAAGAAATACGGTCCCGCGGCAGCATCTTGCCGCGTTCCATGTGCTTCTCACGCGCCTTTTCAGATCCTCCCTGTGCGATTTTCGCGTGCAGGCTGCTCATCCGATCCAGGAGCTCCTGCATCTGCTGGCTGTTTTCACGGTACTCGGACGACGAGGTGTCCACGGCAGTGGGGAGGACAGATAGTGCGGATGCATGGTGAGGATGTGTGTAGCTGGCAATTGTTCGAGCCGACAATCTGAGGAGAGGAGCAGGTTGGCTGCGGCGCACAGCTCGGGTCGAGCCCACGCTCCGAAGGACAAGCGGGGACGGGGCGCGCATTGCGGGGAGGATGTGTGGAGAAGCTGTTGAGAGGACGATGACACGGGGTCTCTGCTAGAGAGAGTAAGATAGAGTATTATGTCGATAGCATAGCATTGGGCTATGGTAGTGTCGTGAGTGTTGTCGAAGGGGAAAAGGAAGAAGAGGAAGAATGAGAGTGACAGAAGCACGAGATGCCCAGTGCGGAGTGACGATTGCCGCGGATAACCGAGCAAAGACAACAACAAGAAGACAGGGAGAAGAAATGATGGTGAGGAGAGTGCGTAAGAGAGAAAAAAGGGACAATAAAATAGAATCAATACAGTCGTTTGAATAATAAAGGCATCTCAATCAATTGATTCTAGAAATCAATCACCACCATACAAGAAGAGCACCTGGAGTGGCCCTGGTCTGTCTTGTCCCGACGGCTGCCGCGCTGTCTGCAACATCAACCCTTAAGAGTTCCACCACTCCTCCGTGTCTCTCCTTTCAATCCTTCCCTCCCTAATCCTCCCACCATGGCCTCGCTCTCCCCTGTATCCTCCATCCTTCGCTCCTCCGCCGCCCGTTCATTCTCATGGGTGCGCAAGCCCATCCCCACACTTGGCGTCTCCCCGCGTTTATGGCGGACGGTGTCGACCAAACACCCAGCAGGCTTTGAGCCACCCACCGACGAAGATTTGCTGGAATTGCGCGATCGAGTGCAGGAATTTACGCGTGAGCTTACTACGTCCCTGGTAGATACTGTCGGTGCAATCGCTCACAAGTGTGTTGGTTCAGGCCGCGAAATCCCAGCCGAGGTTGCCGCACGGACAGACGAACAGAATGAGTTTCCTGCAGACATGTGGAAGAAGCTCGGCGATGCTGGGTATGAACTCCCACGGAACCCCCACATTCTGGTAAGACGGCCAAATAGTATTAACCTTTCAAATCAAATCCAGGTTCCTCGGCGTGACCGCTAATGAAGAATATGGCGGACTGGGAATGGGCTACCAGGCCCATTGCGTGGTGATGGAAGAGCTCAGCCGAGCCTCTGGCAGTATCGGGCTATCGTACGCTGCGCATTCGCAACTCTGCGTGAATCAGATCTCACTCAATGGGTCCCCCGCGCAGAAAGAGCGATTCCTGCCTGGCCTCCTGTCTGGTGAGAAGGTGGGCGCGCTGGCCATGTCCGAGCACTCAGCGGGCTCGGATGTCGTGAGCATGAAGACCACGGCGAAGGAGGTGGACGGTGGATGGGTGTTGAATGGCACGAAGATGTGGATTACCAATGTGAGTGTGATTTTTCATCACAGGCCATAAAGTGCCATCACTAATCCTGTGTGGTAGGGTCCTGATGCGGACTTTATTGTCGTATATGCCAAGACGGAGCCCGAGAAGGGCTCGAAGGGAATCACGGCCTTCGTCGTGGAGAAGTCGTTCAAGGGCTTCTCGTGTGCGCGCAAGCTCGACAAGCTGGGCATGCGCGGCTCGAACACGGGTGAGCTGATCTTCGAGGATGTGTTTGTTCCTCGGGAGAATCTGTTGGGCGAGGTGAACCGTGGCGTTCGCGTGTTGATGGAGGGTTTGGATCTAGAGAGACTTGTTCTGAGCGCTGGGCCCCTGGGGTATGTGCCGCTCCAAATCATTTTATTTTCTTCTATGCCAACTCACATCCTCGCAGAATCATGCAAGCAGCCCTTGACCTTGTCCTCCCGTACACTCACGTGCGAAAGCAGTTTGGAACCCCCATCGCACACAACCAGCTCATCCAGGGCAAGTTGGCGGACATGTACACCAAGCTAGCCGCCTCGCGGGCCTACACCTATACCACGGCGCGACAGGTCGACCAAGCCGCCGTGACACCGGGCGAGATGGTGGTCCGGACGCAGGATTGCGCCGGAGCAATCCTCTATGCCGCCGAGCGGGCGACGGAGTGTGCTCTGGACGCGATTCAGCTTATGGGTGGAAGCGGCTATATTAATGAGATCCCTGCCGGACGGTTGCTGAGGGATGCGAAGCTGTATGAGATTGGAGCGGGCACGAGCGAGATTCGACGGATGGTTATCGGTCGTGCGTTTAACAAGGAGTATGCGTAGTGTTGTCTAAGTTGTTCTGCGCATTCAATCAATAGATTATATCTGTCAATGTAAACCCTAAGATGCATTTCCGTTGAGATGTGTTCTGTTCATGCCAGTCATGCTATATCGCCAATAGAAAAGGAGGCCGGATATCCAAAACATGTGTAAATGTCCAGGCTAATTACTTCTTCTGCCTCGTCGACCTGCGCACCGAACCTGCCGCCTGCGACGCACCGTCCTGCCCACCCCCACCAACACCACCACCACTAACCTTCCTTGACGCAACTCGTTTCGCCCGCGGCTTCACCGAGTCCCCAGCAGGCCCATCCTTATTCGCATCCTCCGGCACCGAGGTCTCCGCTTTACGCTTCCGACCCCTCTTGGCAGGAGCCAAGGCAGCAGGCTTGGGTGCGTCATCGGGGGACAGCACCTGCTCCGGCGTGGTATTGGACGCCTCCCCTGCGTCCCCGTTCCTCGAGCGAGGAGTTTCCAATGATAGCACGTCAGACATTTGGTCTGAGCTGTCTAGCTGATGCGGCGCCTCGCTGCCTGCTGCCGGGGCCGCAGTATCCACCGCATCCGTATCCATGGGCTCAACAGCAGTGGCGAGACTAGGCCGACGCGACTCCTCCCTTGCCCGCTTCTTGCGCAGCCGCGATTTATCCAGACCCGGCTGCGCGGACTTGAACACCTCGCGCCAGTTCTCCAGCAGGGCAACCTTGTCCCCGTAGCCCGGCTCGTAGATCTGGACGGTGACATCCTGGTCCCTTTCCAGGCTGGGCGTCTTCCAAATCACGCCTTGGAATGAAGTGAGGTCTGGTTTTGTGGTGGACTGGACCGGTGGTGGGCCACGGTGCACGGAAGGGGAGGAGGTCTTGGGTTTGCGCATCGTGGTAGGATTCTGCTTTATTTTCGTCGCTGCCGAGGTATCCTCGTCGTAGTAGTCGTCTGAGTAGTATTCCCAATCACTGAAGAAGTCTTGCACGTCTTGCGCGGGGTCGTCGTAGTACGAGGCGTCGTAATATGAGCTTGCGGCGAGTTCGTCCTGCGTGAAGGAAAGGTTGGTTAGCGTCGGAGGTTACGAACTGATAGTATTGGATCTTCTTCGCGAACTGTTCGAAGGGATGTACTCACAACTAGGTCCGGGACCACGTCGTCCCAGAGATAGTCATCTTCGAACTCGTAGTATTCCTCGTCATCCGACATGCCGATGTGAGATGAAAAAGCGAGTAGGTAAGCGAGTGTCGGGGAAGGGGGTGAAAAAAGATGCAGAAGTAACGAGAGAGATGCTTCGAGTATATTTACATAGATACTATGCAACAGTCATGGACAATGAGGGAACGAGTGAGTCCGGGAGAAGAAGGTGAGGAAGAAAGAAAACCAGGCGGGTCTCGAATAGCCACGCCGATCCTGCCAAATCCTGCTCAGGTAAGCCTTGGCATTCAGTCTCTCCAGCTATACAATGTACAAACTAACCAAGAACATTCTTCTTCAACCTATTTTAGACTCGGACTACGGGTTAATAAATCTCAATTTCTTATTAGGCTTGGACATCCTTTGTACCCAGAGTTGATACTGACTAGCCCGATTCTGTCGATGTTGAAAGCGACTAAACTGATCTAGACCATGCTACCTCTGGAAGGATATATGATGCCCCTTCTCCCCCCATCTGGCTTCTTTCTTCTTCATGCCCCCAATGCGCCCTTACAATAACCAGATTGATAGCGCCACTAGGCAGCGCCTGGTGGCCGAACGGATGTTGGCTTTTATTCCTCACATGATTCGATTTTACTTCTGGTAGGCGATGGATATCGTTATTTTGCGTAATGTTTAGTGGTCACATCTATTTTAGTATCTTTTATTGTATTCGTCTTTATATCTATCTTCGCGTCTGTTCGTGTGTGCAGTCGGCAAACGCAGTATACTAACCTTCGGACCCAGGTACGCCACAATATATATTCACTACCAACATCTTCCACCTACCTAATATCAACCAAAATCAGGTACGAAAACGGTCGATGGGAATGGCAACACAGCTGCGCAAACGAAAGTCGCATGTACTACCGAACAAGCATGCCAAACTTCTACCCTCATTTCGACACCGCGGACGGAACACTGAGTTGGCGGCGGTGGGATGACAACAGCAACAACACTACCAGCAATACTACCACTACAGGCGGCACTACCACTGCCACCGGTGCTACCACTACCATCCGTATCACCACCACTACTACAACCAACATGGCAATCCCCCTCAACCTTCCTCCGGGGCCTCGCCTTCGACGCTACTACCGCATCGACTGCACCGGCATCAAGAACCAGTCACGTCGCAACCAGAAACAACAGAAGAAAAAGAAGAAGGAAAATAAGAAAAACAATCAATATGAGGATCGGCGGCCTTGGACTCGGCTTCAGCGTCCCCAACGAACAGAGCAGACGCGCAGACAAGATCGGAGTAGGAGGTGCAAGAAGAAGAGGGAATCCAAGCGGAATCGGTGAAGGAATTGTGAATTGTTTGGTTTTCAGGAAAGAACATTGGTGAAGATTGGTGACGAAGATTGGGGTCGATACCCCAGAGGCCTGGATCGCATAGCTGATGCAGTATCTCCATCACTCTCCTGCTAGGACCCGGGCCCAGGCCCTAGCGGGAGACCATTTGCGAGAAACTTTTCTCGGTGAAATGTGCTCGTGTTCGGAAGGAAGGGAGACAGATTGGACTATGACTATATCATTCATGTATTGGGGTACTCTTTCCAGCTGGGTAGTTTTCTCTGGGGAGTTTTTCTCCCAGGTCTGGTTTTAACGAGGCCCCGTGGTTTTGTGTTTGTTGATCACTTTGTACTTACTGATCCGGAGAGGTATATGTATATCTTCAATTGTTGGTATATGTATGACCATGACACCTCTTTCAGATCGAAATTGTATCTTAGATTTATTATCGTCTTCTCCTGTGTAGACAGTAGTATCGTAACTGATATCATCGATTTGGAGATGGTAACTAATTGTAGATCCTCTTGGCAGTGGCGACGTCAGCCCCCGAGGCCATTTGTCCCGTTTCACCCAACACACAACGATCTTATCACTCGCAACATGGCATCCCAACCACTTCCCCCCGACGGGATTCTGGGAGCCAACTACAACGAAGGATTGAAACTGGTCGATGGCGACCATGACGAGCTCCGCGCCGTCGGCGCCAAGTGGATCCGCGGCTTCCTGGACATGCATCAGATGGACGTGCCGCACCCAGAGCAAAGACCAAATATCAAAGCGGTATTCCGAGCCATCGACGCCGGATTCAAATTCATCATCAGCCTTAAGTGGAACTACCAAGAGCGCGACTTCCCCGTTCCTGGCAGTGCCGAGCATGTCGCGGAGCTGCAGCTCCTCGAGCGCATGCTCGCGCTAGTCATGCCCCGAGTGGACGTGATGGTGATCGGGAACGAGCCCTGGATCGAGGCAAAGCCGGGCCAGCAGAACGAACGACTAAATGCTTTCTACGAGAGCATGGCCGACGCGGTGATCGATTTCCGCGAGAGAAATCACCTCCCCACGCGCTTGTACATGGGCGCCTTGAACAGGCTCGACCTGCCCGCCAAGCGGACACCCGCCATCGAGCGCTTCCTGCGCTACATCGCCTCCAAACCGCAGCTCGATGGTGTCGATGTCCACCTGCACATCGCCAATCTGCCCGCTCACCGCTCAATGCTGGACTACGTGCTTCCTCGGCTCCGGGCGGATCAGACCTTCATCGCGACCGAGTTCTCGCTAATCTGGCACTGGAAAGCGCATCTGGGCGACGCGGCTTCGAACTACTTTTGTTCAAAGTATGGATTCCCGGCGGGTACGAAGGTGCACGAGGTTATCAACGCCGCATTCCAGAACCCGTTCCCCTATAAGCAGTGGGAGGAATTCCTTACCAATGAACCTTGGTATATCCAGCGCAGACACTTCATTACCAATGCTATGAAGATGTATCGCGAGACGGGTCGGATGGCTATTGCGACCTATTGCTGGAGTCCCGCCCGGCATAGGACTAAACCCCTGCTGACCACGGATAACCCGTGGTTCATGAGTGCTGTGTACTGCACATCGCCTGTGCAGTTGAAGTCGGATGGGACGAGATATGGGAATTTCCCGTGGTGGGAGGAATTCCGGCGGGCTGCGAATTACCTCTAGTCAGGTGTAAATACTACATGTAAATACCTTGAATATGCCTCCGATTCCATCGTTGCATCGATGTAGAGCTATGACACGTGACAGCGGTTTCCCCGCGTAGTCTCGCTTTGCGTCGGCAATGACAACAGTCCATCTTCCAAGGGTGCTTTCTTTCTTTCTTCCTCTTCTCTCTCACCTTATACTATCTCTACCTATAATGTCTCTCTGCTGAGACTTCTTGAACATCAACCCTCTCAGCCCCTAATTCAATCCCGGCTGTCCTCAGCCATGCCCCTCTCATCCCTTCTCCGCATTGCTCCCCGCGTCGCCCCGACCGCGACCCGCCGAACAACACGAGCGGCCTCGTCGGTGTCGAGCACGCCAGGCGCTCATACCTCGCTGGACTCAATTCTCATTGCGAACCGTGGCGAAATTGCCCTGTAGGTTGTCCCATTGGATTGCTGTTGTACAATTCTATAGACATTGCCGATTGACCGATTGCAGCCGAGTTGGTCGGACAGCAGCGGAGCGTGGAATCCGCGTGACTACCCTCTACACAGACCCAGACAGCAAAGCTCAGCATGCTTTGAGCTCGCCGTTTGCGTATAACTTGGGCTCCGTGTCGGCGTATCTGGATGGCGATCGGATTATTGAAATTGCGCGCAAGGAAGGGTGTCGTGGGATACATCCCGGTTATGGATTTGTCAGTTTTGTCCCACTTGACAAGAAGATACTGCCAGCCACTGACGCAACTACATAGTTGAGTGAGAACGCTGCGTTCGCGCGCAAATGTACCGAAGCGGGACTAGTCTTCATTGGACCTCCGTGGAAGGCGATTGAGGATATGGGTGATAAAAGGTATGCATTACTTTTACTCAACTGTTGAAACACTGACATAACCCAAATGTAAATAGCCGTTCAAAAGAGATCATGACCGCTGCAGGCGTACCCTGCGTCCCGGGATACCACGGGCAGAACCAAGACCCGCAATTCCTCGAAGCCGAAGCGGACAAGATCACATACCCCGTGCTCATCAAGGCCATCAAGGGTGGCGGCGGAAAGGGCATGCGCATTGCGGCCTCCAAAGCCGAGTTCCAGGCGCAGCTCGAGTCGGCCAAGTCAGAGGCCATGAATTCGTTCGGCGACGATCATGTGCTCGTGGAGAAGTATATCACCACACCTCGGCACATCGAGGTCCAGGTCTTTGCAGACAAACACGGCAACAGCGTCGCCTTGGGTGAGAGAGATTGCAGTATTCAGCGTCGACACCAGAAGATCCTCGAGGAATCGCCCGCACCACATCTCCCCGATGCCACCCGGAAGGACATATGGGCCAAAGCCAGATCTGCGGCGCTGGCGGTGGGCTACGAGGGAGCCGGCACGGTCGAGTTCATCTTCGACAACGACACGGGCGACTTCTACTTTATGGAAATGAATACGCGGCTACAGGTTGAGCATCCCGTGACGGAGATGGTGACGGGCCAGGATCTGGTCCACTGGCAGATCCTGGTGGCCGAGGGGGCCAAGCTGCCTCTGACTCAAGAGGAAGTGGAGGCGCGCATGGCCCAGATGGGACATGCCATCGAGGCCCGGATCTACGCCGAGAACCCAGATCTGGGGTTCATTCCCGATTCCGGGCGTCTAATCCATGTGCGTACGCCCGACACTACGGCTGACATCCGGATCGACGCTGGGTTTGTGGAGGGCGATGACGTCTCGGCACACTACGACCCCATGATCTCCAAACTGATCGTCCGGGGAGCCACCCGCGAGGAAGCCCTGCGCAAGTTGGCCTCTGCCCTCGAGCAGTACGAGGTTGCGGGCCCCGTGACCAACATCGAGTTCATCAAGTCCGTGTGCCGGAGCCCGGATTTTATTGCCGGCGAGGTCGAGACGGGGTACATTGAGAAGCACCGCGAGGAGCTCTTCGCCAAGAAACCCATTGAAGAAGAAGTGTTGGCCCAGGTCGCCTTGGCATGCTTACACCGCGACTCTAAATCGGGGTCTGGCCCGTCCGTCGGCTTCACCCCGAGCTACCAGCAGCGCCAGCTGAGCTTCGCCGAATCCGCCGGACCGGGCGCTCCAGCAGGGTCCCCTTTCACGGTGCGGGTGCAGCAGACTGCCGACAACACCTTCAACGTGGAAGTCGGCGACCGGGTCTTTGAGCAAGTGGTCAGCCACCTCGACCCGACGTCACGGGTCGTCACCTCCTTTTTCCCTCACACACGGCTCGACACGACCGTCGTGCGGGACGAGGACACGATCATCGCTTTCCAGCGCGGCTCGCAGTACCGATTGACCGTGCCGCGGGCCGGATGGATGGAAAAAGCGCTGGGGATGAAGGACGTGACGAACAGCGTGCTCGCGCCAATGCCCTGCAAGGTACTGCGGGTGGAAGTGCAGGCCGGCGACGAGGTGGAGAAGGACCAGCCGCTGGTGGTGATTGAGAGCATGAAGATGGAGACGGTGATCCGTAGCCCGCAACGGGGCACGATCCTCAGGGTGGTGCACCAGAAAGGAGTAAGTCCAGTCACGCGCTCACCTCCTGATTTGTTCTGGAACGATCGGATGGCGGTCCCCTGATGCGCCCCGTGACCTGTACTGACTTGTTCCTGCAGGACCAATGCAAAAGCGGCACTCCCCTCGTCGAATTCGCCGATTAGTGTAGCTGTCAGGCAGTCTGGGAAAGTCGAGTCCTCGGTGTGGACCGGTCTCGGGGGCCACTTGCTTAGGGATTTGTGTGGGGTACTTAATCACTTGCACTGTTATCACAATTCACAACAATCATAGTCGATTTAGATCCGCCCAGTGGAGTGGATCTGGAACCTTGGGGCTGGTTAACGGGCAACCGGCGGGAATCCCGCCCCAGTAAAAGGGCGGTAACGAATGTGAGCGGCAGCACCAGCGTCATGTTGTGGTAGAGAATCGCCACTGGCCAGGCGGGGGTCTAGTGGCGAAAGCGTGTGCATGGCAGCCGACTGCATGATTATTTCCCCGACCAACTCAATGGAGCAGGTCTGATCCAAGCTGCCGGACGACCTATAGGTCCACGACGATGGACCACTTCATGATTTCGATCTGTAGCCATAGAATACCCTGACAGTACACGGACCCACTGACATCAGACTCGCCTCTAGCTCTCCCCAATTGACCGCAACATTCCCAGCTGACCCAAAGCTCCGACAGCTATTATTGTTTTTCCTTTCTTTTCTTTTTTCATTCCTCCCCTTCTCCTCTCGTGCTCCTGGTCTCCCTTCTCTCCCTTCTCTCCTTGGACATCCTCATCCATCCCCTTGCTGCACATACTTCCTTCCTAGACCACTCTCCACTCCCCTCTCGCCTCTCCAGCTTCAACACCCCATTGAAGCTTCCCCCAACCCTCCAAAATGTTCCAACCCACGGTCGCACGCTCCATCCGAGCTCTGCCCACCCGCCCAGCAGCTCTATCCGCTGTCTCGCGGCCTGTCCTGAGCTCCGCCCTGCGCCCGCTGTCATACACAGCTATCCGCGCCAACAAGAAAGATGACCCCACGAAAGACCCCCTCCTAGCGGCGACCACCAAAGCGCCCGAGGGTGCCTCCGGTGAGCATGAAGGCCGCTTCGCCCGGACGGACGAGAGCGTCCAGATCCCCTACCCGCCTGACAGCGAGATGCCCGCGCAGCCTATTGTTCAAGGTCGTGGCGGTATGCATTTCAAGCGTACCCTTGCTCAGTTCTCGCTTGAGAACAAGGTTAGTATGGTTACTGGCGGTGCGCGCGGTTTGGGACTGGTTATGGCGCAGGGTCTGGTTGCTTCGGGGTCGGATTTGGCCATTGTTGATTTGAATAGTATGTTGTTTGCTTCAACAATAAGAATCGGAGAGTCATCCGCTAATTAATATCCAGAGGAGGAAGCCGAGACACAGGCTCACCTGCTGATCGAGCAGTTCCGCAAGGAGAACCCCGGTCTGGAGGAGTGAGCTACCCCTCTCCCTGCTTAAGCTCGCCACCACCGTGGCTTAGTGGCTAACTTACTTACTGCGCGATAACCAGAATGCCCAACGTCACCGCACACTATGCCGACGTAGCCGACCCCGACTCAGTGAATCAAGCCCTAGACGAATGCCTAGCCAAACACGGCCGCATTGACAACCTCGTCACATCGGCAGGATTCACTGAGAACTTCGACGCCATCTCCTACCCGTTTGACCGCATGCAGAAGCTCTGGGGCGTCAACGTCGACGGCACGTACCTCTTCGCCACAGGCGTCGCAAAGCATCTCATGGAGCGTAGTGCTCCCGGCAGCATCGTCATGATCGGGTCCATGTCTGGCTCGATTGTTAACGTGCCCCAGCCCCAGGCGCCGTATAATGCTGCCAAGGCTGCTGTACGGCATCTGGCTGCGTCGCTCGCGGTTGAGTGGGCCGGCCAAGATATTCGCGTTAACTGTATTAGCCCGGGATACATGCTGACTGCTCTGTAAGACTGACCCGGAGCCATTGTTGGATTTTGGTGTCCAAATCAGATTTACTAATGATTGACTATTTTGGTATAGTACCCGCAAAATCCTTGATGAAAACCCCCAGCTGCGCGACAAGTGGACTTCCCTTATTCCCGTCGGTAAGATGGGTACCCCCGAAGACCTTATGGGTGCCGTCACCTTCCTGCTCAGCGACGCGTCTAAGTACATCACCGGTGCGGACCTCCGCGTTGACGGCGGCTACACCCTAACTTAAAATATCTGTTGCTGTGTCATTTAGCATGATATTGATGTATGGGGTTTTGCTTTTTCTTTTTCACGGATGCGATATAGACCGACTGTAATTTTCATATTTTCATCATTCAAATCATCAGGCCAAAACAATCTGCTTATTTAATGCTTCATCTCAATCGAGGATTTGTTTTATTTCCATCATGCTTTGTTTGAGGGGTGAACGAGAAAACGGCTTGAGATAGGCTATATTTAACGAATGTGATAGGACCGGATCATCTTGCTGGGCTGGTGTATAGACACCAAGCCCACAATCTGGCAGTTTAGGATAGCCACCGAGGGAGAAGCAATATATCCCGAAATGGCCAGGAGCTGGGTGAGGTTTGTAAAGAGGAGTGGTTCCCGTTGTGTGTGCACTGTCGAAGGCCGATAATCGGAATTCGGCCTGTCAAAGCATTGATCATGTTCTGTTTTTGCGGGCAGTGGATGACACTAGAGATGCTGTCACTCTTACCATTGCCCGACTGATCAAATCGGATAATTATACTCGTTCGAGGAAGATGTGACACGGCAAGGGAAAGAAGGCGAGAACAGAATAAAGCCTGGAAGAAGATTGAAGCGCAATACCATGCGCGTCTAAATCTCGTGATCAGATTGATGTTTGATCATGGCGATCGCTCTTGTGGTCAGGCGTGGGGCAACCTCCGCTTTCCGAAACAGGAAGTCTTAAGCGCATCCGGAGTAGAAACAAAGAAGTCGATATTCAGCATGGAAAATGTCTCGCCCAAAACTGAACCAGAAGAGTGATGTGGATCAAAGAGAGAACTCGGAATATAAGAATGAGTCTCTTGACCGAGACGCATCCCGCGGCGCTCCATACTCAAAAGAAGACATCTGTCTGTCTGTTGGCCGTACACCTAGATTGCAGCATCTCGGTTCTCCCGCCAGAATGCCCTCACGTGAAGACCAGAATGTGGTGGAAACGAACGGGCTGTCCGTCTGCCAGCTAGACCAGCCGTTTCCAAGTCAAGATCAAAAGGAAATTGATCTCGCTCTACGAACAATTCGATGCCTGATCGCGGACTTGTGCCAGCAGTACAAGGGCGGACACCCTGGGTGAGTAATCGACGTCAGCATTTACCCCCTACAACATAATCTGATTCTTGCCTCCAAGTGGCGCGATGGGAATGGCTGCGATTGGCATCGCGCTGTGGAAGTACTGCATGAGATACGTGCCGACGAGCCCCGACTTCTTCAACCGGGATCGGTTTGTGCTCTCCAACGGCCACACCTGCCTTTTTCAGTACATATTCCTGCATCTGACTGGCTACCCAGCCATGACGATGGACCAGCTGAAGTCGTACCACTCAGAGCGGACAGACTCGCTCTGCCCAGGCCACCCAGAGATTGAAATCGACGGCGTTGAAGTGACCACCGGGCCACTTGGGCAAGGTGTCGCGAATGCGGTGGGTTTGGCTATGGCAACAAATCATCTCGGTGCTGTCTACAACAAACCCGGCTACCCTCTTGTGGATAATATGACATGGTGCATGATTGGCGACGCCTGCCTTCAGGAAGGTGTTGCAATGGAGGCGATTCAGCTCGCCGGACATTGGAGGCTGGATAATCTGGCTATAATCTACGATAACAATCAGGTAGCGTATGCTCTGCCTAGTACCGGTTGGACCTACACTGACAGAAGGGAACCTCAGATTACGTGTGACGGAAGCGTGGACATTTGCAACTCCGAAGATATCAATGCCAAAATGAGAGCATGTGGCTGGGATGTGATCGATGTTGAAGACGGCTGTTATGATGTTGAAGCAATCGTAGCCGCTCTGATGCTCGCCCGATGCAGTAAGGAGAAGCCGACCTTCATCAATGTACAGACCGTGATTGGCATCGGGAGCAAAGTCGCTGGTGATGCCAAGGCCCACGGTGCGGCATACGGCGATGACGAGGTCGCCAACATCAAGCGAAAATTCGGAATGAACCCCGATGAGCAGTTCACTGTGTCGGACCAAACCTACAGTTTCTTCCGTGAGGTTGAAGCAAGAGGCCGAAACTTGCAAGAGACCTGGAACCAGCTCGTGCAAGATTACTCGACGGCGTATCCAGATTTGTACAAAGAGTTCAAGATGCGAATGGAAGGGAAATTGACCGAGGACTGGACAAAGATCATTCCGTCAAAAGAAGAATTCCCAACAACCCCAACACCCTCCAGAAAGTCCGCTGGTCTCTGTTGCAATCCGCTAGCTTTGAATGTGCAGAACTTCATGGTAGGCACCGCCGACCTGACTCCTTCGGTGAACATGGCTTGGAAGGGGAAGGTTGATTTTCAGCATGTAAGCAGCGGCTCTGTATTACCTATGTTCACCCTCGACTAATTTATCTTTGTCTAGCCTGAACTCAACACAACTTGTGGGCTTAATGGCGACTACAGTGGGCGATATATTCACTGGGGTATTCGAGAGCATGCCATGGCTTCCATCTCAAACGGATTAGCAGCCTTCAACAAAGGCACTATCCTGCCCATAACTTCCAGTTTCTTTATGTTCTACATTGTAAGTGAAGCTATCACCAGAAGTCTAATCTAGCAGTAATTGCTGATACAAGGATAGTATGCCGCCCCTGGCATTCGGATGGGCGCACTTCAAGGGCTACAGCAGATCCACATAGCCACCCACGACTCAATTGGGACAGGAGAGGATGGACCCACACACCAACCGATTGAATTAGCAGCCCTTTACCGTGCAATGCCTAATATTCTCTATATTCGGCCTTGTGATAGTGAGGAGACAGCTGGTGCGTTTTCCGCAGCATTGCAGGCAAAGTCCACCCCCACGATCATCTCGCTGTCCCGACAGAATTTGGAGCAGTACCCGCAATACTCTTCACGAGATGGGGTCCAGCGTGGTGCATATGTTTTCCTCGAAGATGAGCAAGCCGAAGTTACATTGATCGGCGTCGGTGCTGAGATGGCATTCGCAGTACGCACGCGGCAGGTGCTACTGGACCGTTCAAACATCAGGTCGCGCATTGTCAGCTTCCCGTGTCAGCGTCTCTTCGAACAGCAGAGCCGAGAATATAAACGAGAGGTCTTGAAATATCGGTCCGGAATCCCCAGTGTCGTCATTGAGGCGTACGCAGTTAATGGCTGGGAGAGATACGCCGACGCCGGCTACACAATGAGCACGTTCGGACATTCGCTACCCGGTGCGGCGGCGTATAAACATTTCGGGTTTGATGAGCAAGTGATTGCACCAGAGGTGGCAAAGCTCGTTGAGGAGGTTCGGCGAGACGGGATTGAAAGCTTACGTGGAGAATTCCGAGACTTGAACCCGGTCTGCCATTGAGCAGGTGTGAAGACAATCGCAGACATAATAGAAATAGTACATCCTGCACCACATAGAGCCTTTTGTCATTCCGCGCTATCCTGTGCTTCCCTTTTAACCTCTGGTATTGGTTCGACATACGAAACAAACGGTGCTACAATCCAAACGGGACTGAACTCTCCACGTATGTGCGGATGTGGGTAATGATAGAATGGAAGGTTGGGTGAGGTTCTGACCAGGTTGCTGTGACCTCATCTAGATCGAACATAAACTTCGTAATAACCCTCCCATTTTTAACGTTACACAATCTAGCAGCATCGGTTAGTTATTACCATCCATTTATTATTTATAAAATATCTATTCGACATCAACGCCGCATTCATCCTCATCATTATCATACTCCCCCCAGAATTCCTTCAAGTCTTCGACCCGCCACGCAGTAGCCCACCCGGTATCTCGCTCGATGCGAATCAAAGTCTCAATAATAGCTTGGTGCTCCGAGTGGTGTGACATGACCTTTCCAGCAATCCACAGTGGTTGGAGAGCATTCGTCCAGCAGCCGCTGAGGTAGCGGTCAGCGACAAATTGACACAAGATTGGAAAAAGACTCACTGGTGCGCATTAGAGGCAGAGATGGCGCATATCTTCCGAGAATGCCACAGAACAGAGCGCTATTATAAAGACAATTAAGTCAGATGTTAGGCTAGAGAATCATAGACAAGAAACTCACAGGTCTCCTGGACAGAATCAGTGTTTTGGGCCTTCTCTGAAGCAATAACAGAGCGCAGGTGTGGTATAGTTGATTTCCAGAAACTGTCTGAGATTAGATTACTTGAATTCAAACGGTGACAAGGCAAGAACTTGCTTGCGGCCCCGTTTCCATATATCACTGTCGGAAACGGTTGATCTTTTCCACCATGACCAGGTGTGCCGAAGTTGAAAATAGACTTCATCTGGCTCGGTCGACTCTCGTACCATTGTTCCACGCGACCAAAAAGCTCCTCCCAGCGATGGATATATGTTGTGCCATCCTCGTTGGCAGCAGATTGGCATGACGTACAAGGGTATGTCATCTTCGCTGCCCAGCCAAAGAGTAACCCAACAGTTTCCGCACTGAGATAGACCGTGTAATTGGCATAAGTGTCGAAGTTGCTTTTTGCAGATGAGAGGAAAAGTCGTGATGCCTCGGCTGCGCTCATATCACTGGGCCTCCAGTTGTGGATGGGAATTATAGTTTCTTCCTCCGAAATCAGGCCACCACAAACATCTAACCGCATGGTAAGCATCATGGTCAAAATCAAAATTGATGAAAAAATTTGATAGTCCATACCCATTCGTGCGAAACACCAGAACAATGCTTGCTCTTCTTTCCCTGAGAAGCCATTGATTCCGGCTGCTTGGATCAAGTATGCACACCCGTCGAGATGACGACGCCATTCTTTGGGATTACCTATGCAACATTAGACTCAGACCCAATGGTACGACATGTCTAGATGACATACAACTTAACATCTCCAGCACACACAATATAACACAAGAAGCAATTACCGGCGTGGTCTTACTCTCCAGTTCAGGGAGAAGGAGATGAATGGCCTCCTGGTAAAGAGACAGGCTTTCTGACTGAGATTTCTCATTCTTCTGCCTTTCAAGCTGGCGAGCAGACAAAGATAGAATTGAATAGCGAAGATGAGGTGCCGACTTGGCCATCTGGGGGAATGTAGAGGCAAAATGGTGGCTGCTATCAAACATATCGAGCTGTGATTGTTAACAGGATGTATGATTGAGTCACGGAACGGAGGCATCTTACCCAAGAGCAGATCTCAGTTAAGTAGTTCTGCCACAGGACGTGTTCTCTTTGCGGCGACAATTTAAAAAGCCGATCTGTTCCGGAGCGGCAAGCGTCTGTTTCTGTCCTCGCTACAGAGCTCACGCCCGTAGATGCCTCTGGAGTATGAATAAATGGGACAGAATCCGGTGAACTCCGCCGACTGGGTACATCCAGCCTGGCAGTCCATAGTTGACGATTGCGGAGAGTGGTGTGTAGAGCTTCATAAGCTGTTCCGGGGAGAAAGACGTCATTGACAAAATCTGCTGGATCGGAGAAGACGCTATTATCAAAGAGAGAGGACGGAACAGACTGGTAGGAATCCGCAACAGAAGAGTGGAACTGAACATCCTGAGGTGAGTCTCTCGAGGCAGTGACCTCGTCCACCACAAACACAGGAGTGGAATTGATATGGGTGTGTGGTGAAGGGTCGCTGGAAATTGAAGGTCGATATTCTGGTTGGTTCGAGGTCTCGTGTATATTGGTATAATTGGTGCTCTCCCCGCTCGATAATGGCGGGGACAGCCCCTGACCAGCAGCTGAGCCAGAGCCTGGAAGTCTTTGTGCAAGCAGGGAAGCGACTGAGTGGGGATTAACTTCTGCGGCAGAAGGGCGTCCTGGGGGCGATTCATAGTCAACTCTCATGTTATGATCGCCATCAGCATCACCTTGGATTTCCGTCGAAGAAAGTGAGCCATAACACTCAGCTTCATCAAAAGCTTTTTGACTTTGCGTCTTCGATTCTCCGGCTTGTGCAGTATTGTTTGGTAAAGCATTCAGGATTTTGAATCTACTTTGACGTTTATCTTTGCTCACTGCCCCACCCTGGCTCATCGATGGATGGTCAGACTCCAAGACTTTGATGTTTGCATCGCGGAATGAGCCTAGCATACGCCATTGGCACTTGTCCCCTCGGCGTTTGCATCTAGTGCACATTGGCTTCGCTTCGTCACCTGGAAGAGTTTGAGTGATTTAATTTAGACAGGATCATCATTCGTAAAGCGTACATTTTCGGCGACCGCGGCTGCAATTGAGGCAGCCAGTTCTTGTACGCTTTTTTCGCTCGGTTGTTGGCTCCGCCGCAGACTCTTTTGAGTCTTGCTTGGCACCCAGCTGATTAGAGTCGTCTTTATCCTCGACATCAGCCGTGGGGCTGTTCAGGTGTGTGTTCGGCATATTTTTCTGAGCAATCGAATCGTTCTTGACAGGTTTGCATGCTCAGGACATGGGATGTTTGGGGTTCTGCAGAACATGGGGAGATGGGAAATAGGACGCCACGAGAGGCGAAAAAGTTACCGTAATAGGCTACTGTAAGCGCAGCGCGGATCCACTTGTGGCTTGCCGTGTGGTCGGCTCCAGATGTGGGGTTCGCGGGAGTTGGCCGAGCGTCGGGAATGAAGACAACAGGAAAGAAAAGTACGAGGAAGGAAAACCTGCGGGTTCTTTGCTATTCTGGTTTGATTGAGAGAAAGCGTATAGTTATTGATCAGTGGCACTTGTGCCTCAAACGACATGCATTACGCATTGTCTAGAGAACTCTTCTACTCGACATGCTGCGCCTTCTCGCTCTCAATGTCCTTCTCCTGGCCCACCCGAATATCTGCGTCACCAGCCGTACCCATTGACGGATGCCAATAGAGCTTGATTTTTTCGCCAGTGAAAAGGCGATCGATCTGCTCCAGAGTAAGATTGCGAGGCTCCGGGTAGAAATAATAGATGAGTGGCAGGAAGCAGAAATTGAATACTAGGCAGAATGATAAGTAAACGCCTGTGTATTATTTGAAGTCTGATTGGGACATACCAGCGAAGTAGATGTAAGTCCGGTATCCAATGCTTGAAATGCTGACAGGCGTGATCTCGACGACCAAGAAAGTGAAGATCCCTGACGAGCCTTTGTTAGCTTTATGCCCATTTTTAAGAGCGGAAGTCTGGATGAAGTACAGTTGGTAGCAGTGGCCAGGGCTGCTGCACGAGTCCGAATAGCCAAAGGCGCATATTCTGCGGGCACTACACGAAGGTTTTGAATCAGCAGACATGCGCAATAGTAATTTGAAAAAACTTACAGAGCCAAGGAATAGCCAGAAGTCCCACAGCAAAGAAGAAGTTGAACAAAAATAGCATGACGGTTGCAACCAGACCAGCTTGGTGTCCACCATTCCACACAGTGCCAGCCAGGATAGCCATGCAGCAGCCTTGTCCAACGACAGCGAACATCATCAGTTTGCGGCGACCGAGGCTGCAAAGCGTTAGCCTGAACGAATAGTAGTGCCTCGGGAAGACCACCAACCGATCAATAACCCAGATAGGTACCAAGGAAGAGAAGAAGTAGGCCACGCCGTTAAATCCAGACAGCAGCAGCGCTGTATTATGGCCCATTCCGACAGAATCCTCGAAAATCTCTGTGGCATACTAGGATTCAGTCAGCCAGGTTTAAATCGTTTCTAGTTCAATAACTCACGTATGTGATCAAATTGATGCCCGAAACCTGTTGCATCATTTGTCCTCCCATACCAAGAAGTGTCCGGTACAGGAACTTTTGTTGTCCATTCTGGAAAATAGCTTTGAACGAGCCATTAGTGGATGCCTCCTCTTCCTCCTCAATGGCTCGGGTAATCTCTGTGACGTCGAGATTAACGACAGCGTTTTGTTCATCGATATCTCGAGCATTGGGCTGCAGGGACCAAAGGACATGACGAGCTTTGCTTTCATCTCCATGTTTGATAAGCTTTCATATTGTTAGTTTGATCACAAATAATGGATGTTGGCAACATACCCATCGGGGAGATTCAGGTAAACAAAGAACACCGAAAAAAGTGAATATAGCGAAAACAATCTGTAATGCGATGGGGAAGCGAAATTGAGCCTCACTTTCCACATAGCTGAAACCGTAATCTGCAAGATTCTCAGTTAACAAGGATCCAAAGCAAAGACAAGTAGAAGATTAACTTGCCAACCCAGTACGAAAGCATGACTCCGAAGATGTTGATAGCCAGTTCAATAGCCAGCTATATGGGGTGTCAGCTACTCCGTGCTTCAGTTGGGACTCCGGGTAGCCGTACTCCTTTTCCTCGACTTGCAGCCTTGCTTAATTCCGAATGCCAAACGGCTGAAATGATTATCAGCATCTCAAGTCTTTCGTAGGAGACAGACGGGCCCTTACGGATAGCGCTGGTGTTGAGACCATTCCCAATGCCAGCAACAATACGGCCCACGATCAGATGAGGGATGCTATATGCGCTGCATTGAAGAGCAGCTCCAATACTTAGGACAATACTTCCGGTCATGATGCATTTGCGACGACCAAGTTTCTCGCCAACGATCAAGGTTAGGATTGCACCAAGAAAACAACCCTATTTTAATTAGCATCTTGCTGATAACGTCTCGTTGCACAACTCACCACTTCATAGATAGCGACACTGCTCAAATAAAAAAAGTCATTTCAAGTTACCTTTCATGGAATGGTCGATTACTTACACGGTGCCTTGCAACGAAGGGCTTCCATGCCCTCCCTTGGTTGTGTTTATTTCTGGGAACCTTGCAGTGAATGCATCCCCAGTCAGCAAACCGGACATGACACCCTGGTCATAGCCAAAGCTGAACATTCAGTCAATAATACGGCTTCAAAACATCCTATCAGAGGTACTCACAGCAAGAATCCACTGCCAGCAGTGGCCGTAATGGCGTAAGTCAAAGGGCGCCCAACAAGGAATGTCATGATGGTGTCGGGAAGATGCCTTCATTTAATTCTGGAGTCAGTGGGTGATCCTCGCCTTTATAAAGTACCCTTGGAAAGAAAGCTTCATGGCGAAATACATCTAGCCGGAACGGCGCCACCCCGGGATCCGCAAATGCGGGGGCACGTCTAATTCGAGTAAATTTTAGCTCAAAGTGCCCAAACGATGGTTAGAAACGTATGAACTCTATTTAACCTTTTATCTCCTACAATTTTACAGGGAGACCAGTATGTGCAAATGTTTGTAATACTTTGGCGTAATATGATGCATTGTATATCGTGAGCGTGCGAGTCTCCACTCAATGAGGAATAGGGCATCGGTGGGCCGAACCAGTCCACCCACGTACGCCGGAAACCGAGCAGATCGACGGCTAAGCCCTTACCCTGCTCTCCAAGACTAATTACTAGAATAGGAAACTTTAAACGCTGATGTTCTCATTCCACACCTCCAGTCATTTCCTAGTTTACTGCCCTGGGCTACCCAGTGTCTTTCACACTTACCATGTACAGCATATTTAAGCACCAAGCCCACGCCCGTCTGACCCCCAGCTCCAGGCGCCGACTGGGCTGTTTCAACTAAACATTCGCATGATTTGATGAACCCGGCAAAGGAAGCTCCAGAAAACTGGAGCTTCGTTTGCATGTAGTTTCCGGCAAAAGTGGTTCCTTCGATGAGAGTTCCACTGTGGCTCTGCGGCATTGAAACTTCCCAAGTCGGGTCGTGAATAGCCGCAGAGACTTGTGAAGTCGCCACTTAACTATTAGCAGCAACCTTCATATATGAATTGTAGACCCTCCGCACTCTCCCTGCAAAAGAACTTACGAACAAGGACTTCCTCATCTCCACTTCGTGGTTACCCTTCCAGACATTCAGCATGGCTCCATCCATCAGCCTCGACCACTCCACCCCTGCGATCGTTCCAGAGTCCAACGAGACTCCCGCTGCGTTCGCACCTACCAATGCCCTCTTCTCCTTGGGCGGCCGCACAGTCGTAGTCACCGGAGGTGGCCGCGGGCTTGGTATGACACTGACCAATGCTGTACTCGAGGCCGGCGGCGACGTTGCCTGTCTGGACCTCCTCCCGGAACCAAACCCGGAAGAATGGTTTGCTGTGCAAAAACTGGCCAAGTCGCGCGGTCTTCAAGCCACTTATTCGAAGTGCGACATCACAGACGAGGAAGCTACCAAAGCGCTTCTGGAGAAAATTGCCGGTGACAGCCTACGTCGCAATATGCCTTTGCGCGGTCTCATTACCTGTGCCGGGATTCAGCAGATGGTCCCGGCCCTTGACTACCCAGTTGATGGATATCGAAAGATGCTGGACGTCAAGTGAGTCAAAGCGGTGACAAATGAACTAAAAAGATTCAAACGACTGATAGTCTGTTCTCCAGTGTCCTTGGAACTTTCATTCCCGCCAAGCACTTTGCCCGTATCTGTGTGGAGCAAAAGACTTCAGGCAGTATTGTGATGATTGCCTCTATGTCTGGACAGATTGCCAACCGTGTATGTACTCGAATTTGGAAAACAGATTTCATTATCAAAAAACTGACAGCTTTTCTTGAACCCAGGGCTTGACCTGTACCGCCTATAACTCGTCCAAGGCTGCCGTTCACCAGATGTGCCGGTCAGTCGCTCAAGAATGGGGCCAACATGGTATCCGGGTGAATACTCTGTCAGCAGGGGTATGAAACTACTAAATTATCATGTTCGGTCGAAAACTAATGTTCCATCTAGTACATTCGTACCGCTATGACCGACGCTCTTCTGAAGGAGAAGCCCGAGGTCGAAGAGATCTGGCTCCGCGGAGCTCTCCTTGGTCGCTTGGGTGCTCCTGAAGATTTCAAGGCGCCCACTGTGTACATGCTTGCTGACGGCAGTGCCTTCATGACCGGCACTGACTTGCGCGTTGATGGCGGTCATTGTGCCTCAGCATGAATCCTCACATGGAGATGACGAATTCGAAATGGCATGTTCATGGCGTTATAGTAGGGCCCATGTTAGTTGATAATCGATGAATAAGATAGGAAATATCAGAGTAATTCCAAGCTATTATCGATCTTGTAGCTTCAGACCTTAGGCGAAATCCTAGCAAAATAATTCTCGGCCGAAGCAATCGAAGGAAATAGCGATCAGAAGTAAAGAGAGTTTCTTTCACACTACGGTGGATACGTCATACTCTTGGTCAAGGTCCTAGGAACACGAGACTAGTAGAAAGCCGGGGGAGGGGGGATTACAATACGAGCTGGAAAAGGGCCAGAAGCACGATGAGAAACGGAGGATTGGTTTGGGTTGAGTAATGGAGAGAGCGTCTAGGTTGCTCAGTGGAAGAACTGTTGTTCTATTGTTGTTGGTATATACAACGAGGTAACTGGCCTTGCTTGCCACCGATCTCTACAGGAGTTGAATAGCGCGTTTGCTACCCTGGTCCGAATGGGATAAGGCTTGATGTCTGGATATCTGGGCCTTAGAAAGGTACAACTGCATAGCAAGGCAGTCAAGGTTTTATATTTGCGTATTGTTTGTTTGGTGAGACTAAATATTGACTTGTAACAGCTGTCAGGTCCGGCGTCTCCACTGCTGCTCAACCTGCCATCCTTCCATCACCTCAGATCTCCCACACCCTCCACACCATCACTTACTTCTAGCCCGCTAGGATGGAAAGTGTCAGGAGCCGAAGGTTGCATGGTCACCAGAATCCGGGTAGTGTCTACAAGGAAGGCACATGCATGAGCAGCCAAGTACAGAATCAAAAGCCGGTTTCTACATCACTGTCAATCTACTGTAAAATGATTGATGATCCCAAGGGTTAGTTATGAGAATTCAGTCCATCTCGCCCTCCGCACGAACGTCCTAGTTTCCCTTTTGGAAAATAGTGTAGGTAATTTTTGATGTTGGTCCACGCTTACAGCTCTGTGGACACCTGGAGATTGGATTTGAGCCAATCCCTCGGTCACCACATCCGAGGATAATGATGGTGCTCTCTCTAAGCCACTATCGGGAAAATGAAAAATTTATTGAATGATTGACATGAAATGATATTATCCACCAGGGTATCATTATTTTAAATTCACTTTTGAGGGTGAAGGTCATCAACATCCACGTGGACTACATCCATGACGCGAATTTTTTGTCTGTCCCGATCATCCCAAAGCGCCTCCTGACTAGGACTTTTCTGGACATTTCTCTGGGTCTCAATATCAACTGAGTTCTGATAAAAATTGGGTCCGTCATAGATTCGTTTGTGCTTGGCTGTTCGAGGTACTGATCCAAGGCCAATGGACCGAGAACCGCTACTCTGACCGGACTTTGAGTTCCCCTTGTTTCGCAAGAAGCCGAATAAGCCTCTCAAGGAAGGAAGTGAGAGCGCAATAATGAAGGCACTGATCTCTGCACTGGACCAGGCCACAACAACGGAAAAATACCACGTAATGTCTTCGGGGTGCTGTAAGGCGACAATCATAGCGACCATTCGGAGAATTGATGTACTAAGGTTGGGGATTAGACAGAATAATCCGGAGGGGTGGGGAGAAAGGTCTTACACAATAGCACTAGAAGTTCAGCTGTCAGCCGACACTATTAATATTATCAAGCGAGCTTCCAGACAACTTACAAAACTCCGAAGCAAACCACGAAACCCAAGACCAACTTCCGCATAAAATTGACGTGCAATCCGAGGATAATTTTGGTTGGCAAAATTAAGATGAGCGAGTCACAGACAATTGTGAGCACCGAAGTCGAGAGAAAGACGGCTGTGGAGCCCATGCATTTGCCTTTCACCGTAGGGTCCCACAGGGCCTGGAGCGGAATGCATTGAACTGCAATGACAAGTGCCTGTGAAACAAAAACAGCTGTCACGAATACAAATGAAATGCGCATGTATAGCTGAAACTGTGGCATCGGGTTGAGACGTGAATAGAAAAACAAGCCGGAGACGCGACAGAGCCAGAGGCTCAAGAAGTATACCATCTGAGCAGCGACAAGCCATTTGTACATCAGAACCATATTTTCCGGGTGGCTAATAAGTGTCGCAACGTGTTGACCGCAACCGTAGTGAACGTCCATGAGCGACAGTGCCATGTCGAGCCAAGCGACCAACTATGACCATTAGTTTTATGCTAGAGATAGTGGGAAGGGGCCATACTTGTGCGATCACGATTGTATAATCATCCCAACCTAGCTCTCGAATCAAAAATCCTCGAGCATATAGGCGAACCAAAACTACAATGGTCGACAGCGCTGTCGTGACTACCATGCCAATAGCAGCCGGTTTCCTGCGATCCTGGGCCAAAAAGGCCGGCGGATAGTCTGGAGGAGTAGACATTGTAGTGATGAGACGAAGGGTCAGGAGACGTGCATGGCTGGAAGGGAGTCTTTTTCGAGGCAAAAAAAAATGCCTTTGTTGTCCTACCACCCTGAACAGTGTCAAATTTCTTCCCCTGGGATTATGTATTTGGGCCCGGGCCGAGACATGTGGAGAATCCAGATCTGACCTTTGTCGATTCATCCATCCGTTGCCCTTTTCTGCGCTAGTGATGTTCGCACTAACAATCGCTTTGTTACAATGCTCCACAAGGAATCGTGGGGCTTATGCCGTAACCATCCTTGGTCAAGCGCTAGGCAGGACGGGACAAAAAGCACCTGAACAGCTACAGCTTATTGGAGGGGAATAATATATTCCGGATCCTTTCGGTCAACTCCTGGCGACTCAGCGTTCGAGTATTAGGTTGACAATACCCACAACGAGCGTTCTCGCCGTAAACCCCCCGATTGAACACACATTCTCTTGTTGACTTGGCCCAACACAATGGTGCCTCTCACAACACCGGAGCTGGTTGCATCGCTCAATGGGCGCGCTGTGTTGCCTTTGCTGCTTGTTTGCGCAGTTTTAGCTCGTGCGGTCGTCAGACGGTACTGGACGCCTATTAGGGACATTCCAGGTCCCTTTTTGGCGTCGTTCTCGAGTCTCTGGCAGGTCTATCAGCTATGGAAAGGCCACACCGAGGAAGAGATTATCAAACTGCACAAAAAACATGGTATGTTTGCTCAACCTACCTTCAAAAGTCCTTTATGCCAATAGGTGGCAGGTTATTTTGTCCGTATCAGGGACAATGAAGTCAGCGTATCTCATCCCGACGCAGTTCGACAACTCCTTCACGCTAATATCGTTAAAGTATGGCGATAACGTTTTAGGCATGATAGTATCTAAACTGCTGTTTACTAGGGTTCATGGTATTCGATCTTCAGTCTTCCTGACTATCACTATGTGAACCAGATGTCGGAATTAAATCCTCGGCGACACATCGAGAAGGGTCGCAACGTCGCATCGGGATACGCTCTTTCCAACATCATCAAATCTGAATCCTACGTCGACGTAGTTTTGGATCTTTTCACTTCCCGTCTGGACGACTTCTGCAAGTCCGGCGAGCCGGTCGAGTTTAACAGGTGGTTCACCTTTTTCGCATTCGACGTCCTCGGCGAAGTCACATTCTCCAAGTCTTTTGGGTTCATCGAGTCTGGAAAGGATATCCGGAACGCCATCGCAAATACCCGAGCACTGGCTCTTTACATTGCTGTGATGGGCCACTACACCTGGCTTCATAATCTGACCCTAGGGAACCCTCTTCTTAGCCGGATGGGCATCCAGCCCACGTCGCACATCTTCGATACCTGTCTTGCCGCTATTGATACGCGGAAGAAGAATCCTGATGCCCGGAGTGATATGATGCAGAAGTGGATGGATACTCGCGCTAGGTATCCTGATCGTATGGAAGAGAATGAAATCTTCGCGGCTGCTGTTGCGAATGTTGGTGCTGGTGCAGATACTGTCAGCGCCACGACACAGTCCCTTTTCTACTTTTTAATTCGAAATCCCCACCATCTGCAACGGCTGCATGAGGAGCTCGATGCTGCTCACGCTCGTGGAGAACTTTCGCCTGTGATCCAACATGCCGAAGCACAGAACCTGCCTTTTCTTCAAGCTTGTGTATGACTTGAGAAGCTTGTTGCAAAACAAAGATGCTAACCCTCTCGGCTAGATCAAAGAGGCATATCGGTTCCATGCCGCCGTGGCACTCGGTCTACCACGTGTCGTGCCCAAAGGGGGGATGACAATCGGTGGTCGTTTTTTCTCGGAAGGCGTCATTCTGAGCGTCAATCCTTGGGTCTTCCATCGAAACCCTGAGCTCTTCGGCGAAGATTGCGACAGCTTCAATCCAGACCGTTGGCTGCAAGGTGAAACTCAAAGAATGGATTCATTTTTGATTCACGTATGTACAATGCCCCTTCTGCTCTGATTTATCCACTGATAACATTCCTGGAAGTGGGGTGCTGGATACAATCAATGCCCAGGGCGAAACCTCGCTCACTTCGAAATCTCAAAGCTTGCGGCCACATTATTTCGGGATTACGATATTCAGCAAGTGAATCCTAAACAAGAATGGCAATTCCAAAACCATTTCACATACGTGCCGTCAGGGTGGCCCTGCAAAATTCGACGACGGTCAAGAGTGTGAACTGTACATACAGTACGTCCCCGGACTAGTGCGACCACCTACACACTTCGAAGGACTGATTCTCCAGTCCCAACCCCGAGACATATAGTCTATGTTGGGAGGGTTTTTGGAGTACCCCTGTTAGTTGGGTGCGTATTGCTTCTTACTATAGATTGCATAGTACTTAATATGTATTCACTTATAAACTCAATACATCCGACACCTTCAGAATAGCCTCCCAAGGAAGGGGCATCTTAATAATTAATCACTATTGGTTAAACTAAAATAGCCCGAATCTTCGCTCCTTTAAAGCATGAGCTTATCTGTGACATGATCCTAGTAGAGAACTATCTATATCGCAGATGGCGTAGGCAACTAGCTGCAAGAGGAGTACTATCTTGAGAATCTCTTCCAATATACGAATATTTGGCAGCGTCAAAGCACCGCCTAATAAAGGTGGACGATCCCGTACGTTTTTCCCCAGTCGGTTGCCTGCATCTTTGCTTTGCTGCCATCAGATCCACAGGTGACAGCCACTTTCTGCCAAGCGACAACTGGATGCATCCGCAAAAGCACTTACGCTAGAAAACTGCACCTGTAGAGACGTGATTGATGATGCTGCCTGCATCTTCATCTTGCTTTGGGTTCCCTGACGGAAACGCTTTGGTTTCGACGCCCTTGGTGGTTGTCATGGTGAACGATCACCAGTTAGGGTTTGTTGTTGGATGAGATTGCAGTCAGGACCAAAGGATGGACTGAAGGGGCATTGTCTTTGTGTTTCTCGCCTCATTCTGCCCTCTGCCTTATCATCCGTGTTCTTCGCCGCGTGAGATTCATGATCACTGCAATCCGGGGAAAGCTCCACGCATTAATGCATCCCCAGTCTCCACTGCTTCGGAGCGCAATTATCGCTTATTGGCATGGCTACCGGGCCGGTCCAAGCCCAATCATTCATGACAGCCGGTTGGCCACGATAGTGTCTGAGCACGTTCGGTCGCGGCAGTGGAGATCGAAGTATAAAATTGAGAGACCAAGTGAGTGGTGCAAAGATCTTGCCAGACAGTACTAGGAGATCCGAGGTCCTGGTTGCTAAATTCATGACGTGATTTGGAAGATACCACATCTAGTTGTCCGTCCGTTTTGCAAATTATATAGGCAAAACGAAACGAGAGACAGAGAGTCGTTCTGGGGCCATGTCGATTCGGCCTTATCCCCTTTTCTTGCCTCTCTTTTCAGTGGATTTCGATGTGATCGCGACAATCCGGCAGCAAGACGTATCTCCCGTCTCCACTCCGGGGATTTGCGCAATTATCTCTGATTGGTGCCTCGCCCAGTGGCGGCGGCAGAGCCAATAATCCCGCCTGGTTTCATTAACTATTGGGTACGAAAATGTCGAGATAAAAATAGTGGAGATACAACTGAGGGAGTCTGGACATTTGCTCCATGGATTCTTTCGTCGGGACCAATCTGTGCCGTAGCGTGGAGACGTTGTAGGCTGAAACCAGCGCATCGAGGGCGTTGACTCGTTCCCCGTGACTGGCGGCTGCGTGGGCGCCGACCCCATTATAGACCGCAGTGATATCGAAACAGGCAATCGTCCTTATCTTCTGCAATATCATTGATGCATTGGTCAATCGCCAACTGGAGTCCTATTTAAGTATGGATAGCCATGTTAGTTTGTTGGCCCTCGTCAATGGCTAGATCGATGTTTTATCCGCATTCTCGATCTTTAGCTTAGGATTGTCTCGTGGCGGAAGATTCCGCTGGGTGACCGCGACGGGTGCCAAGTGCCGACGGAGACCCCATCCACCGCGTAAAAACCGATGATTGGCGATGAGGAAATCCACCCCGCATACACGAGGATGATGTACGCAAGATAACGGGTATAAATAAAGGCAACTATTTCATTTTTCAGTTCCTTCGTATCACTCGCATCTTCTCAAAGCAAAACATGACTGTCTCTACCTGGCAAGAGAAAGCCGCCGCCAAACGGGCCGAAGCAGACGCTAAAATCCCCTCCGAATGGCGACTGCCAGCAGATTTTCTTCAGCAGGTCAAGATCAACGACCAATGTGTCCTAGATGTGCCCTCAAAGTGTGGTCTTCTCTCCGCAGCGGAGCTTGCGATTACAGAAATCCAAGACGCAACGGCCTTACGAGACAAGCTCGCAGCGCAGGAATTGAGCGCCGTCGAGGTCGCGACTGCGTTCTGTAAGCGAGCTGCCATTGCGCAGCAGTTGACATGCTGCCTCACGGAAACCATGTTCCCACAGGCACTGGCTAGAGCGAAGGAGCTTGACGAACACATCAAAACAACAGGAAAACCCATTGGACCGCTCCACGGTGTGCCCATTAGTCTGAAGGAAACATTCAACGTGGAAGGCGTTCACACTTCGCTCGGATTTGTTTCGTTCTTGGACCGTCCACCAGCCACTCAGAATTCTGCCCTCGTGGCGATTCTTCTTGCGGCTGGAGCGGTGCTATATGTCAAAACGAATGTACCACAGACCATGATGACCGCAGACTCGCATAACAATGTCTTTGGTCGCGTGTTGAATCCCCATCGCGGCAATCTTACGGCCGGGGGTAGCAGTGGTGGCGAGGGAGCCTTGATATCGATGCGTGGATCGATCTTGGGCATCGGCACCGATATTGCAGGGTCAATCCGGATTCCAGCCTTGTGCTGTGGTACCGTTGGCTTCAAACCGAGTGTCGGTCGCGTGCCTTACGGCGGTCAAACTAGTGCTGGTCGTCCAGGAATGACTGGCATTGCCCCGGTGGCTGGACCCCTCTGTCACTCGGTTCGGGATGCAGAGTTGCTCCTTCGCGTGGTATACAATGCACCGGCGGATGATATGGATGACACGGCCCTTGGCTTTCCATGGATAGAGCCCGCCAAGCCGTTAAGCCAGACGCTCACCATTGGCCTTCTGCCAGAAGATCCACAGGCGCCGTTGCACCCCAACATGCAGAGGACTCTCGCGCTGGCCGCAGAAAAGCTGACTAGGGCGGGCCATCGTATCGTCGATCTATCGGGCCAAGTCCCGTTCCAGGCGTCGGCGTCAGATCTGTCATTCCGATTCTTCCGTATTGATCCAGATCAGACGCAGGTGCAGCATATCCGAAATGGTGGGGAGCCGCCCATTCCGTCTCTTCGATTCACTTATGACCTGGATGGAAAGGGAAGTGAGGCAACCCTTCGAGACTTGTTCGCCCTCAACGTCGCTAGAGCAGAAATCGCAGCCCAAATCCGCCGCGTGTACCTGGATAATCAACTTGATGTGATCATCGGGCCTGGATATCAGAGCACGGCAGTCCCTCATGACACGTATGGTGTTCCAATGTACACCGTCCTCGCCAACCTAGTCGATGTAGGAGTCTGCTTTGTGTAGACAGCGAAGAATTTTGCTGACCGTTCAATCTAGTACCCGGCCTGTGTCATTCCCTTTGGCAAAGCCAACTCCGTCGCTGATGCGAATTTTATTCGCAACGTAGACTATTACCCACCCTGTAAGGACTCATTCATAGCAATAAGTGAAGGTATCCATTCTAACTCAACTAGATGATCCGAAAGAGCTCGAGGGCGCGCCATGCCACGTGCAGCTGATCGGTCGTCGCCAGAAGGACGAAGCGTTAGTACGGCATGCGCAGATCGTGGAGGCCATTTTAGCGAAATAATCATTCAATGGCAGCATACAATAACATATCAGTTCAGGATGAGTCGAGCAAAATTTGTAATCGTCGTATTATCATATCTCCTTGGTTTTCCGTTGGTGACGCCCATATGCGTTTCAGCCGCGCCAGTAGTCGCACAGACTGCCCACGCCTCATTCGAGTACAAGGCGCAATTCTTCCCTGTACAAGACGCTGTTCGCCCTCATATAAGCAAATAGCACCGATAACAGCCACAGGCCAGAGCGCATAACTAAGCAAATATCGCTGAAGATCCAGCTGGGATAGAAGTGTGAGCCCTTCGCAGCCCAATGCCCGTATCTCAGCTGTTCTCTGTGCTGCCGACCGGATGCAATCCGTCTTTAATAGTAAGACTCGCATGGCCCGCACATAAAGGCTCTTTAAGGGGTCATCTGCACGGATGAGCTGCTCGTACTGTAAAACGCCGGCCTGCAAACGTGTCCATTGTTGACGTTCAATGACATTCAGGGGCTGCGATTTCCTGGCCAGACATGTCACATCTGCAATCATGAGGAAGAACTGGTATGGCTCGTCCAGAATAGGCTGCGTCGTGGGGTCTTCACGATTATTTGCCATCCTACTGGCCAAGTAGGACGCCATGCTGCCCGTTGGATTTCCATCCAGAGAGGGGTCAAATAGCATCATAAGCGTACTGTGGTAGAGAAACGATTCGATGCAAATGCGTTCAAACACAACGGCAGGCTGAGTTGCCCCTTGGAGGGCCTTGACTGGTTGTCGTTTGAAGAGAAGCGCACCAGCTGCTCCGATATGCACAGCTGTGTTTGGGGGCGCATCGGGTCGGAGATTCTGCAATACTTCCTTGTTAGCATTCCCCACTCCCAGCATTAGCTCAAAGGAAGTTCATCCAGGAACCCGCTTACTTCAAATAAACACAAGAAGATTGCCGTTGCCAAAAGACCATCCTCGTTACCGGCGTCAGGCGCATCCGCCATCCGATCCTGTAGACTGCGCAACGTATACAGGTAGCGCGCCGTAGCTACAGCGTCCTTCCCCAGATCGGCAGCCGCCATTGCGAGCAAGACAGCCATCAATGGTGGGAACTCCTGGGCCAGGCGAAGCAAATAAGATTGGTCGCAGCACTCAGGCACGCAATTCTGTCGCACAAGCCGCGGCATCACAGACGTGACGAAGTGGTCCCTCAAAGACTCATGCTCGTCGAGCTCCCGTGTCGGGGCGCTCCACCTCCGTCCTTCTCGTCGACGGCCATCAATGGGCTGCGAGGCATCTGTGGGCCAAGTACATGCAAGACTTTTGCCACGGCATCTCTGGCATTGTGGTCGGAACTCGTCGCATTTCTTGCGGCACTTGCGACCTAATCAACAGGCTGGGTCAACATACGCTTCCCCGAGAAGACTATTGAGTACTGACACTCCAGACAGCCAGTGCGCGTGCGCACTCGAGCTTTGGATTTGTGTGTTCCGGGCATAGGGTGCGAGTTTGAGAAGTGCGGGGAGGCAAAGTGAGGTTGATGGGGAAACAATATTTGGGCTGCTGCAGGCGGAACCCAGCAGCCTCCACGAAATCCTCCACCCTGTCACTCCACTAAAACATTTTTTTAGCGATGATCTATTACGAATGCAAGAGTCATACCCATTAATGGAAAGTAGTAGCTAGTCGGTGGCAGATCCAACTGGGCAAACCACGCAACGCAGGTGACGAGAAAAGTTCGATAACGCGCTGCTCGGGTATTGAAAAGACCGCGAATATCCCAAAATCTCTTGTCGGTTCCGTCGCGCCTGATGACTTGCTGCATCTCGTCCAGTCCTAATGCAACAACTCTAGAAGACGGATTTCCGTCTCCGTGGTATTCAATGAGGTTCTGGCGGGCTTCATCAATTCATAGATAAGTCTGCCTGAATAGCTTTTCTTAGTCTTAACTACTGTTCTCTGCTTTTATGACTTCAGTCACTTCCTTCCTTCTTTAGAATTAGACATGTCGTCACATCCCGGCGGATCTAAGACGCCACTAATGCCAGTAATGTTCCTCACATGTTACACCATGTTACTAACCGATTTTTGAGCCATAGAGGAAGAGGAAATTATATAGGAATTTTGCGAGAGATTGCACAGCTCACAAGCTGGTAGCCAAGTCAGAAGAAACCCTAGCCATCATATACTCATTCTCTACTCTTGCTTAATGCCGGCAGCCATGGGGCAGCAGATTGCAAAAGCATCATCTCTGGAGAAAGGATATGTTAAACACATGCTCATTCACAAACATGGGTATGTAGTCCGACTCCTTGTACCAAGCCGGCTTTTGCATCCCGTCCCATATGGTTAGCCCATTGATCTCCAGGCCCTCAAAGACGACATTAGTTATGTTGTGTTCTTGATCGTACCCCAGCACGAGGGACGTGAGACTATGGTTGCCATTGTAAACCATGTCCTTGATATAGACATTCTTGATTCCCCGGCCTGGCGAGGTGTTGTACATGGTATTGTCCATGACTCGCAGATTGACGAGCTGGCCATGGCGAAAATTCTCGACGCGGATATTTTCAACGTGGATGTTCTGTATCATATTGCTGTCGCCGGCGTTGATGGCAATGCATCCTTGGTACCAAAGTTGATACTCCCGATGATCCAATATGTCAATATTCTCTATCTTGATGCCATCCATTGTCTCGGGGTTCTGGGTATTTCCATGTGTTCCGATATTGATTGGGTGTGCGTAGTCGGCCCACAGCGAAGAGTCTCGAATGGTTATGTTCTTTGAGTCGCCATACCAGTTGTCACGGTGCTGGTATATGGCTACGTTGTCATCGGAGTTGCGGTGGAACACATTCTCTACGACCACGTCTTGGTCACAGAACAGATCCATACCGTCACCATTACCAGCCCAAGTGAACGACCGGAGACCAGACACAAGAACTCTCTTTGATGAACCAATAACGAGCCCGCTGTTGAATTGGATGACGTCCCTGACGATAATATCTGTGGAGTTGCCGACTTGCATATTGCCGCCGCTGCTTTTTACCACACCTCTTCCTCGTAACTGCGAGTTCGTAACATTGTTGAACTGCACGATTGTTGTCAGGACCCCTCCGCCGGCAAGATAAAGAATCTTGTTAGAAGGGACATTGAGCAGGCCGTCTTGTATGTACTGCATTGCTGTAGCTGAGCCATTATTGATGCCTGGGCCAAAGTAGAGCACGTCAGGATCGGAGGGGTCAGGCATGTCAGTCTCGAGCGGGTTTGTCATGAGGTTGAGCACATCCCAAATATTGCCATTGACCTCAACGACAATGTTCCTGGGTCGGTGCAGACTAAAGCTGACTACATTGCCGGACACGCTCGGTTTGATGCCGTATGACAGGGGCCTGACGGTAGCATTTTGAATCGGGCCGTTGTTATAGGTGATGGAAAGATGGACCGTGCCGGAAAAGTCAAAGTAGGCAACAGACATGTTGTGATAAATTCCCGCCCCGGAGGTTATGTTAGCCTCAGCTGCAAGTACTTGGTATGATGATACGAGATTGCTGGTAGCAGAATTCGCCGCCCGGGCTCGTATGGTATACGAGTCCATTATTGCTATCCCATCCGGGATGGAGTATGTCTTGACAACGTTATCATCGTGATTATTGTCCGTGGCCGAGACGCCAATGAGGTAAGTGAAGCGTAGGAGATACAATATGAAGATGGATGTTATGCTCGTCATGGTTGTGGTTGCCGTCGCTGGCCGGACCTGGTGATCGAGGACGAACCTATTTTATAGTCGGAAGCTTGCCCAAGTGTTATGAGGAGGCATGGAATCTCCAAAACCCACCTTTATCGGGCAGGCCCATCATAACATTGCTACCTTTGTAGCGCTTGAGCTCCATTCGGAAGCTCGCCGGGAGCTACTCCGCCCACCGTTACCTATAGAAAAAGGCCCCCAGAGCTCCGTAGCAGTGGCGAGGTAATTAACCGACGGGACATTCTGCGTTCCCGAGATTGACCCCGCATAGTCTCCTTAATTTCGCCACACAGCCGTCTGTTACGCAGGATATGAAGATCTCTCCCAAATTATCAGTATGAAACTGGTAACTGTATGAATCAACTCAAACGTTTTATGGGCAAGTATATTACATACTTCTTAGCAGCACGTTGACATGGTAATTCGCGAGCGGACAAAGGACCGGTGACACATCCGATGGTGATGAAGTGTGTTCTCTAATGGAAGAATTCTATAAAAATTAGGATATAAAAAGCTCCAGACCCCCGCTTCCCTCACAATAAAGACATTCCACAGCCCAAGAACGTCATTCCATAGACGGAGAACAATACCCGCCTCCTTCCAACCATGGCTTCTCAAGTCGTTTGTGTTATAGCAATTCTCGCGACCGTTTCCCGGGCCTTTGTTCATCCTGGTCTTCTACACACAGATGCTGACTTTGAACGCATTTCTGCGTTGGTCGTCGATCAATCTGAACCGTGGTATACCGACTGGCAGCTGATGCTTAATAACTCTCATTGCCAGTCAACTTATACACCAAACCCGCAATCTATTGTCTACCGCGGGTACGACGGAACTCATGCCGAGAATTATCAGGCCCTCTATAACGATGCCGCGGCCGCTTATCAGCTAGCTCTTCGTTGGAGAATTGGGAACGATTCGGCATACGGAGACGCTGCAGCTAACGTGCTGAATGCGTGGGCCTCGACACTAACCGACATAACCGGCACATCGGACGCTGCTCTTGCAGTAGGAATCTACGGCTATCAGCTAGCAAATGCTGCTGAAATCCTGCGCAGTTATAGCGGCTGGAGCTCGTCTGACCAGTCAGCCTTGGCTTCCATGTTCGATGATGTTTTTGTTGCCGAGAGCCTGTACTTTCTGAATACACACTATGGCCAGGACGATGTTCACTTCTTCGCCAACTGGGACATTTGCAATTTGGCGGCCATGATGGCCATTGGAGTCTTCAACGACAATCAGACCCTGTATGACTATGCACTTAATTACGCTCTGACGGGACCATCCACAGGCGCTTTGCCTCGTTTCGACATAGCCAATTTTACCGAATCTGGAACCAATAAACCCCTTGTTGAGGGCCAGGAGGCTGGACGTGACCAGGGCCACGCAACTCTCGACTTCGCGCTATACGGTGTTCTCGCACAGCAGGCATACAACCAAGGGGACGACATATTCGCCGCCTATAACAACGAAATTCTAGCGGCGTAAGCCAACTAACAGCCAAATTTCGGCCGACCCCATACTGACCGAGAATAGATCTGAATACTGTTCCAAGTACAACGTAGGTCAGGACGTCCCATTCACAGCCTATAGTTCCGATGAGGGCAATTTCACGGAGGTTGCGAGCGGCTCACGCTACGCGATACGCCCAGGATTCGAGCTCATATATGCCCACTATGCTGGAGTGAAGGGGATGGATGCGTCGTGGACAGGGCTCTACCGCGACATGGTTAACGGCAATTCGACGGACGGCGTGGAGGGTGGTGGTGGTGACTATGGTGGCGACAGCGGCGGTTATGACGGTTTGGGGTACGGCACACTGCTCTACCGTCTTTCGTGATATATGTGCGAATGCTTTCTGGCTTTGCTGCCACAGGCAATCCTTAGTGCGTCTGTTAGTACTATTTTGGCAACATAGCTTGGTGATATTTATCAATTGCTCAGCCCTAACCGTGCCATCAAATCGAATCCGCGGGAATCAAGCCTCTTACTATCTCCAATATAACTAGTGTCTAACTTCAAAGTTGAAAAGCAATCCAATGGAATTCGAGTTCACGAAATAGATCATATGTCTTCTGCGCAGGAAAAGATATCATAAGATTGTCGTCTGCTAATAGTCTTGCTTTCAACCAGCGTCTAGATATCGCTCAAACTGTTCCCTGCGAGACTCTGTCAGGACTGCGAGGATTTCGCCGTTGTATCCGATTGACCCTTACAGAGTGAGAGCCAATAGTAGAAGTGCGTTTTGCATTGGGTCTAATTGCTGAAAATCCTGCGAATATTCTATCTGGAATGTTTTTCATACGCTCCCAAGCTGTAAATTTACTGTTCCAGCCCTTGCAGGTGACGATATCTTCATACCAAGGTGAAACCAGTCTGGAACTCAAACGGCCTGGCATACAACATCGGGTTTTTAAGACGGCGGAGAACCACAGGAGCCTGAGCCGAGACTTTGTTCGGCGTAATCCAACGACAGCCGCAGCTCAACAACCTGGCGGACGTCTAGCGGGTGAGCTGCGCGGTCAAGTCTCCTGAGGCCATTCGTAGGGAACAAAGAGGGACGCAACATCTGCATCTTCTCAAGCTGGCGCTTCGAAAGGCAACGTGCTATAATGGAACTTCCAGACGCCATTGAGGCTCTGGTAGTACTTACTGTACTCGCGCTCAAAACTCAACGTGGCATCCTCATCGTGATAGTGGAAGAAGTGTGCTCATGCAGGCAGACGGTTACGTTGGAGTACCTTCAGGTTGGCCCAATCTGGTGGCTATGCTGGAAAAGCCATGACGGCAATATGTTGCACGTGTGTGCAGTGATGGCAAGAAAGGGATGGAGACAGCCCTCTCGAAATGTAGATTAAAATGAGTTGGCAAACGTTTGGGATCTGCAAACGGACGACCAGCCCCTTGGAGCGCGGAGCCTGGAGTACTTTCACATTCAAGGATGCATGGAGGTCGTTAGGGGCGTGTATCCCTACGAATGTTTTTGGGCAACCTCTCTAGTCTTCATCCCTTGAAATTACCCGTCGGATATTTGAGCCAGAGCGTCCAGTCGGCTTCGTCCCATGAAGGCGTGGCGCTTAGTCACGGGTTTAATGGGAACAGCTGTGAGAAAAGCGCTACACGGAGTCGGAGTCAAAGTCTGACCAAGCGCCTGACGAGAGCGGAAAGGCGAAAAGCCAGGTGAGGATTCAGATGGTCGGATTCGGTGAATATTTATAGCCTTGTCAGCAGCCACAGATTGCTGGTGAAACAGACCACAAGTTCACCTGATTTGAGCTGCAGCTCTTGACCAATGCTGCTTTTTCGCATACTTGACGACGTCTTACCTTCGTATGCGGGCATTTCTCTCAACATTCTACCTGCTCGCCTCTATCCGCAGTACTCCGGCATAAGAAGAACAGAACGGGCTGTGGCAGTAGCTTCCTAAGCGGCCAAATACAATGGCAGCATATGAACCTGATCCGTCGCTCCAACTGCACTATACCACGCCCGCTGCCGAGTGGGCACAGGCGCTTCCTGTCGGCAATGGCCGATTTGGTGCCATGATCCATGGGCGGACCGACACCGAGCTCCTGAGTTTGAATGAGGACTCGGTGTGGTACGGGGGGCCGCAAGATCGCACGCCAAGAAATGCCCTCGAGAATTTACCGCGCTTGCGCCAGTTCATTCGGAACGGGCTCCATCGCGAGGTCGAAAAGCTGATGACAACAGCGTTTTACGGCGCGCCGACAAGTATGCGGCACTACGAGCCACTGGGAACCTGTCACATTGATTTCGACTACGGAGATGTCAACCAGGAGGTTACAAATTACCGTCGTGTCCTTGACTTGGGGAATGCCACTCAGTCTATCTCTTACCAGGTGGCAGCACAGGGTGGCAACTCTAGTCCCATTAATGTTAAGCGAGAAATTATTGCTAGTTATCCTGACCAAGCCATGTTGATGAGAATCACGTCGGGCAGGAAAATCCGCCTTGTTCTAAGGCTAGCTAGGTCGAACGAGGTGGAACACCAGACAAATGACTTCGTCGACACCAACCGTGCGATAGACAACACAATCGTCCTACATGCAACACCAGGCGGGCGCGGAAGCAACCCTTTGTGCTTGGCGCTCGGCGTCGTCTGTGATGACGACGGCTCAATCGAGGTTTGTGGAAATTCCTTGATCGTCAACTCTGCATCCTGCAAGGTTGCCCTCGGCGCACAGACGAGATATCGCTGCAAAAACGTTGAGGCCGAAGCTATGAATAACGTTCTTTCCATATTGTGCAAATCTTGGGAGGCAGCATTGTCAGCTCATGTCGAAGATTACCGGTCACTGTTCGGCCGCATGAGTCTCAGGATGTCGCCCGACGCAAACAATGTACCCACCGACAAACGTATTCTAGACCATCACGACCCGGGTCTCTTCGCTTTGTATCACAACTACGGCCGGTATTTGCTGATTTCCAGCAGCCGCGACGGATACAAACCTCTACCAGCAAATCTTCAAGGTATCTGGAACAATTCGTTCACACCGCCTTGGGGCTCAAAATATACTATCAATATCAACACCCAGATGAATTACTGGCCAGCCCCTGTCTGTGGACTGGCCGAATGCATGATTCCTCTCGTGGAATTACTGGAACGCATGGCGGAAAGAGGTCGAAAGACGGCGCAGGTGATGTACGGCTGTCGCGGTTGGTGCTGCCACCACAACACCGACATATGGGCCGATACCGACCCGCAGGATAGGTGGTTGCCAGCCACAGTCTGGCCCTTTGGCGGAGTGTGGATCTGCAATGATGTGGTTCAGCTACTGCACTACCATTATGATCCAACCCTCCATCAGCGATTGAGATCTATACTCAGGGGCGCTGTTGAATTTCTTCTTGACTTCCTGATCCCTTCGGACTGCGGCCAATATCTTGTTACGAACCCATCTTTGTCTCCCGAAAATTCGTATATCGATTCATCTGGTGAAGCTGGCATTTTTTGCGAAGGCTCAGTAATGGATATTGATCTAGTCCGGACAGCTTTCAGGCTGTATGTTTGGAGTGAGGAAACCCTCCGCACTCCGGCAGCCGAGAGTGATATTCTCTCAAAGGTTCGAGATGCACTGGGTCGTCTCCTACAACCTATCATAAGCCCTGCTGGTCGGATCCAGGAGTGGGGTTTGAGGGATTATGGCGAGCTCGAGCCTGGCCACAGACACACTTCACACCTATTTGGACTCTATCCGGGTGACTCATTACGAAATGATCCAGCTTTATTGGATGCTGCCAGGAATGTTCTGGCCCATCGCGCCGCGCACGGTGGTGGCCATACAGGTTGGAGTCGTGCTTGGCTTATTAATTTGCACGCCCATCTGCCCGACCCTGACGGCTGTGGCCAGCACCTCCACAACCTCCTCACAACGTCGACACTGCCGAACATGCTCGACAACCACCCCCCTTTCCAAATCGATGGCAACTTTGGCGGCTGCGTTGGGATCCTGGAGTGTCTCGTTCAGTCGCACTTCCAGTTCGAGGACAACGACACTGTATACGTGACGCTGCTGCCATCTCTTCCGCCGGACTGGAAGCAGGGACGGGTCGAGGATGTTTGCGTCAGGAGAGGCTGGTCAGTCTCGTTCCAATGGAAGGAAGGCAAAATTGTCAACCCGATCAATCTACGAGCCAGCGCAGCGGCCCTCCAAGAATGTAAGAATTTCTGTACCCGGTGGCACGGCGGTTCTAGTTGAAGGCGCAGGGGAGCATCAGGTCCAGGTATAAGTCATCGAGGGGCTGAAGAACTCTGACCATGTCAAGGCAGCACTATATGTTTGAAGGGGCACAAGACATGTGCTCATCATGTCTTCGCTCTAAACCGTGCTGAAGCAGAGTTCATACAAAGGCTTTCGTCGTCTATTCCAATTGCCACGTTTTATTTGGAAGTACAATAGCCTGCTGACAGTGGCCATGACCAAAGCGTGTTTTATATGTCTAAATTGCGCCGGGATAATTGCCCAACTGCTATGCCTGTGGGTATACAGGCCCCAAATGTTCCGTATAATTGTCTCAAGCCGGCTACTATCTTCGTAATATATAACTGTGTCCGCATGACCATTGGTTGTCATATGGGCCATGATAGAGCTATCTTTGTGGCCTCCACCACGAATAAGGAGCTGAAGTTATGTATTAACATGGGCCTAGTGAACACCTGCGACTGACGGACAGTTGTGTATGCCTCCGACAGGAGGGATGGGCCTGGTACTTTGGCCATTTGATGGTCATGGGTCTTTAGATCGTTCGCGTAAGCGGGACTTTTGCGAGTCCAGGCGATGAGAGACAGCCCTAGCAACGTCAGACAAAGTACGCCATAACAAGAATTCCACTTGCCTGGGTCACGACTTGTCTATCCGTGCATGCCTTCGTCACCACATGAATTCGCAAGGCAGCGGAGAACCCATTGAACGTCAATTTCCTGAGTTAACCCTGCATTATTAGTCACCTCTGCCTATGTCCGGTGGTTAAGCCACAGCTATCCTCGTTATGGTAACGCGGGGTATCCTCAGCGAGCGTAAACCGGCGCCGCGGAGCAGGTGCCGGAGGCACTCCTGGAAGTATCCCACCAGTCCTAAGGGCGGACCCGAAACGTACTGACTTGAAAATAATAAGCGAACGCAAAGACTTTTAAAATTGATCTTGACAGGAAATTAGCCGACGGTAGGGTTGGTAGACACATTGTCATTTCCGCGGCTTTCTGTCATGTCGCTAGCCCCATCGCTGCGCCAATTCGAGTAGTACGAATGATAACAGAAGTAGAGGATTCAAATTTCTCTGCCTGAATAGTTCATTGTCTCTGAACCCCCAGGGGCCAAGACCAGTCAGTACGCTCACGCCGGAATGAATCCAGCAGGAATGTCCGGCCGGTCCTACAGTAAGTGATTTGAGTTAAATGTAAAGACTGAACGCGCTGACTGGGTGTTCGTAAAATAATAGCTAGATCTTATGCTGATGAGCATGACCAGCAGCTTGTCTTGTTGTGGATTGGCTTTCAGGGATAGTCCTTGCAGTTGTTCCGATCATAACCGTCATCTTGCTGCACGTATTGTTTGGAGGTAGCATATTCGACATATGGACTGCTCAAAGTTACTTGTCTCTCTTAAATCTTTTTTCAGCCCTCTGAAATGAACGGGACTGAAGCTGTGATGCTACCAGTAGCCCTATTGCAACTATGACCATGTTGGGCACTGATTCCGGTGCGAATGTGCGCATTTAGATTATTGTAGAGCTCGCAAAACTTGAGCTGTGTTACCGGCCAGTCGCTCGCGAAAATTATAGGACCCAAAGATTACTTTCGGATGTGGCAATAGCGACAAGAGATAGTATGTAAATATCAGAAGTAGCCTTTGGCCAGCGTCCTACCGTCAAGTAATGTTCTCAGTGACAACTGAGAAAGACCTCCCAATTGGGCGACGGTAAGCAGGTTGCGTCGGGATGGAGAAATCGGCAATGACCCCGGTGGTGGTCGGCGTTGGCTCTGTCCCGGCTTGGTCAAAGGGAACTTGGGACGAAATGAAAATTGCCCTCGTCTTGCACACGACATCTAACGAGGCCTAACGCGAATTAATGCACCCCCAATTTCCACATCGCATATGGGGTTAGGATGGACCGAGGGTTGGTGGCGGAAGATGAAGCGGAAGGTATACTGGTCTTTCTGGAAGTGACTGGAGATCATTGCCTGGATGGAAAACAACTCACGCCACGGCCTCAAACCCGACGGCAAATTGTTTTGACGTAAGGCTTGCTGGATTTTACCCGGGCAAGCTGAGCTAGACAACATTATAACAACAGTACACCTGGCCCCGACTGGCCTGCGAGCAAGGTCGTTATTTACTAACTGCTTGAGTAATTTTCAATGCCCGAGGCTATCAGGATGGCTTTCAAGACAATAGTGACCTTTTGCGAGCTGCTTCAATTTGTTTCAGCCGCCACGGACCCAAATAATCTTCGTCTCAAGTTCGGTTCGCCAGGCAAAATCGGCAATACATCGAAGGAGTTCGTGAACGCCTTCCCAATTGGTAAGTCAAACGATGAGATCATCCACCCTGATAGATATGCAAGTTCGATATGAGCATTGACGTCTCTGCAATGAAGGCAATGGTAGGCTAGGTGGGGCCATCTACGGCCAGCCCGTTGAAGAGGTCATCACAATCAATGAAGACTCTATATGGTCCGGACCAGAAGTAGACCGTATTAGCAAAATCGGACTAGGCCATCTCCCTTCTGTTCAGAGGTCTCTGTTAAATGGAGATATCACCGGGGCTCAACATGAGGCCATCGTCAACATGGTTTCGAACCCGCAGACTGGTCGAAGTTATGCTTTTCTTGGTGATGTGGCCCTTCACTTCGACCATGGCAACTACTCTCACTATAGCCGGGTTCTGGATATGGAGAATGCGACAGTGTCCATTTCGTATGATGTTGATGGCGTGGTTTTTGAAAGGACCTTCTTCGCCAGCTACCCCGACAAGGTTATCATAGGGAGAATTACCTCAACTATGAAGAAAGCGCTTTCGTTCTCTGCACGTTGGAATCGGCTTGGACTGAACGAAAGCACGCGGAATGGTTGTGTTTATAGCAACGGCAAAAACACTGTGACAGTCAATGCCGAGCCTGTGGACGGCCCTCCTCATTACGCGGGCCAGATTTTTGTTACCAGCCCTGATGGTGAGAAACATTGTCGAGGCGCCAGCCGATCATATCCGCGCAACGCGATATTAACTCTTCCCCAGGCCAAGTCTCGATCACCGAAAACATCATCTCAGTGGTCAATGCAAGCGAGGCAACTATACTAATATCGGTGGAGACTGATTACTGGAATGAGAATGCATCGCCCAACGACCTGGATCAGCTGGTCTCTTCCCAGGTAGCTAACGCGCACCGCCGAGGCTTCTCGCTACTTCAAAAACGCCATATCAGCGACTTCCGTCAATACTTTGACCGAACATCGTTAAGTATTGGTTCTGTCTCGGCCAGCTCGGCTAAGGATACAAATCTGAGATATGCCGCGTTCAACTCCACCGGCGACCTTGGGCTTGTGGTAAACCTGTTCCAGTTTGGACGATACTTATACATTTCCAGCAGTCGCCCAGGATCTTTACCGCCAAACCTCGTCGGTATATGGAACAACAACGATGATCCAGCATGGGATGGCGCATTCACAACAGACCTCAACGTGGAAATGTTTCATTGGCAGGCTAATTTGGTTGGCTTATCGGACCTTCAGCAACCGCTATTCGACTTCACCCAGCGGCGTGTGATGCCTAATGGTGGTATCACTGCAAAGGCTCTGTATAACTGCAGCGGCTGGGTAGCCCACACGAACAACGACCTCTGGGGAGATACCGCTCCGTGGTACAAGTGCGTAGCTGCCAAGCGTTGGCGCGCAGAGATTACGGTTCACTGACTAAAAGATCGCAGTGGCACGACCTGGACCTTCTGGCCCACAGGAGGTGCCTGGCCCATGGTTCAAGCGTTCGAGCACTATCGCTTTACCGGGGATAAAGGCTTCTTGAGGTACCAGGTGTTGCCAATTTTGACCGGGCTTGTGGAGTTCTTCAACGATTTTCTCATCGAAAAAGACGGGTACCTCGTCACCGCGCCTAGTATTTCGCCAGAAAATTCGTATCTCACTCCTGAGAATGTCACAGGAGGGATGACCTTTGGTCCGACATCTGATAATCAGGTACGTTGCCGCAGGATCCACCTGTTATGGGTTGAAGGCCACAGCCGATAAATTTCGTCTTCCGCTTCAGATACTGCGAGAGATATACAAAGACTTCCTTCTGGCCTCTGACCTCTTAGGCTCGACATACCTTGTCGAGCGGGCCAAGACTGTTTTGAGTAAAATCCGGTCACCCGTTCTGGGTGATACGTCTGGCCGAATCCGACAGTGGTGGTATGCGGATTTTGAACCAGTTCAATCCAACGGAGCTATGATGGCTCCACTGCTGGCGCTCCATCCCTTCGCTCAGATAAATTACTGGGACTCGCCACCGGAATGGATCACGATGGCGGAGAAGACTATCGAGTTTTTCCAATCGGATCCGTACAGTGTTGTTTCGTGGTGGAACGCATGGTTAGCTTTCTCCAAGCCGATAACCTGCTGCAGAGCTTGGCACTTAACTCAAATTTTAGGCCCATCATTTATTATGCAAGACTCCGCAATGGAAAAATGGCATACGACTCGGTCAAGAGGGTTTTGAACAACGTCGCAACTTCTGGGGCGACATGGACCCTCAACAATGGAGAGTACCAGATAGACGGCAATCGTAAGTGCAAGCATTACCATCTCGTGAAACCCATGGCAGAAGCTAGGTTTGCTGAACATTCATTTTTTGACTACTAGTCGGTGCAGTTGCCGGAATTGCAGAAATGCTGTTGCAGTCACAGGGACCTGAGTTTATTTATCCCATGTATATCCTGCCGGCTCTACCTCATGAGTGGCCTGAGGGAAGCGTGACCAATTTGGGTGCCAGGGGAGGCTTTGAGGTCAGCATCTGGTGGAAAGACGGCCTCTTTAGCCGCGCTGAAATCCGCTCTAACCTTGGTCGGCCTCTCAACGCTACTGTTGGAAGCCTTGGAGGATCAGAATTCACGGTGAAGGGTGCCGGCTTACAGAGTGAAAAAGGCCATGTCGAGTTTGATACCACTCAAGGCAAAGTGTACACACTAACACGGGCTTGGTAGAAATGGCTTTTCAGAAAGGTTAGGAGGTTGTCCGTTACAATGTGTTCTGCAAATCGAATGACGGCGGTTGGAGACGTTCTCATCTTATAAGGAAATGAACATGTATATTTTCGTCCTGGCTCGTTGCAATGTCCAAGGCCACAGCAAGATCACATGCAGAATACTCAACTTATGTACAGTTCATTTTCCCCGATCGTGTTCAAAAATCCGCAAAGAATCTTGAAATCCCGTGAGAGGTGTTGCGTGGCGGAAACTGAACCCCTAATTTTTAACGCCTATCTAATATACTGCCTTGTTCGACAGCCCCAACGCAGTTATCCATATTGTTCATCAGTCGCTGAATTGCATGTCAAGCCAACGCGGCCAATTGACCTGGTGCCAGTATTGAACAGTACTCACGTGGACCTCAGCCTTCGGGCACCAGCAACCACCAGCGATTCCAAAGGAGCGCCGTACTAACTCGGTGTCACATCCAGAATACATGAGCTTCACCTCCCCTTGGTAAAGGGACATTTACAATGACACCACCGTCACTACAATACATTCATTAGCTTGACACCAGAGTAATCTTCGCAAAAGGGCGAGCCGACATGGGAGGCATTATCCTGACCGTATGTGGCTATTCGCCTTCTTCCGTCGGTAGATCAGCATCACCATCGCCTCATATCTCCTCAGTGGCTATCCAGGATAGAATACCACATTTTGCCTGGTAAGTATTTTGCTTGCCCAACCAAATGATCGGCGACTGTTAGGATGCGTAAAATGAGTTCCGGTAAATTATATAAAGGATTGCGCTACGGCGAACTACCCGACGGGATACTCAGCCAGCTTTTATTTACCCGTCTTTCCGCAAGATCCTCCGGACCCCGGACTACCCTGCTCCATCAATGGTGGAGAATGCGGGTCTGTATGCATGTATCGACGTGACTTTGCATTCACGCTATACTGCAAGGCGCTCGGCATGGCTCGGAGGCGCTGAAAGAAAGATTTTAATTGCGGAGTAGGTCTCAGATTTCACAGCCACGCAGGGTAGCCATTAGTTAGTTGACTGGGATATAGATACATCGAGGGCCCTGTTTGCCTTCGAGCTTCATCTTTCTACTTCTCATGCAGCTTTCATTCCGGTCCAGGCACTCTTCGCACCTAATCATCAAGCTGTTGGTCAGAAGCCATGTTTTTCACACATGCACCTCGGCATTGGGCCAGCACCCGTGTTACCGCCTTGTTGGCAGCCTTGATCTTAGCTTCATGCCCCACAGGGCATGCGTCCATGCAAAACATCAATACCGGCTTCACATATGACAATTCCACATTTTACCTTCATGGAAGCCCCTACCAGATCATTGGTGGTCAGATGGATCCCCAGCGAGTTCCGCGTCAGTACTGGGAAGATCGTCTGTCCAAAGCTCGGTCAATGGGCTTGAATACCGTATTTTCCTACATTTACTGGAACAAACTGGAGCCACGTCCAGGAGAATGGGACTTTTCAAGTGGCAACGACATCGCTGCCTGGTTTGAGCTTGCAAAAAAAGTCGGTCTCGCTGCAGTCGTCCGCCCTGGTCCGTATATCGGTGCCGAGCATGAGTGGGGCGGCCTCCCATCTTGGCTGCAAGAGATTCCTTATATGCAGATTCGACGCAATAACGCGCCCTTTATTAACGCAACTAAGAGCTACTTTGATCATATCGGAGAGAGGCTGGGCCCATTGCAGGTTACAAACGGAGGACCTCTGATCATGTGCCAAGTTGAAAATGAATTCGGCAGCTTTGCACAAGTCAATGGTGAAAGTCAGTCATCAAACCACCAATACATCGAGGCTCTCAGAGATAGCCTACGCAGTAACTTTGATATCACTCTGTATTCAACGGATAGCGGAAACGTTCAGAACCTGGAACAGTCCGTCGTACCAGGGGTACTGGCTGAAGTAGATGGCCAAGCAGTGAGCGGCTTCGAGGCTCGACAGTCTTTCACCGAGTATCCTTCAAGCGCTGGACCACTGCTCGATGGCGAGTACTACACAACCTGGTTTGACAGTTGGGGTACCAACGCGACGCATGTCATGGCCGGCGGTACCTACTTCCAGTCTCTGTACGCCAACGACGACATCCAATATGTGCTCCAAAGCAACAACTCAATCAGCTTTTACATGTTTCATGGCGGCACAAATTGGGAATTTGACAACTCTTGTCTATGGGATGGAAATGGCTACTTGGACCCTGTTACTACCAGTTACGACTATGGCGCGCCTCTTGATGAGTCAGGTCGTGTTACCAGTCTCTACAGCACCCTCAGGAGCCTCATTGAAGACTATGGCAGAGACTCGACTAGCCTCCCGTCGATACCGATCAATGTGCCATTGATGAGCACGCCAAAGATGCATCTTTCTCCTGTCGCAAGTCTCTTTCAGAATCTTGGTGAACCAAAAGTTCAGTCTTCTGACCCGATGTACATGGAGCAATTAAACCAGTCATACGGATATGTCCTCTACGAGCATACGGTAAGGTCAGCCATCAAAGGCCCTGTTGTTGCAGGCGACTATCCGCGGGACCGCATAATTGTTTTCGTCAACGGCGAACGCAGAGGAGTCCAGGACATGATTTACAACAACCCGCCGCCAATTGACGTATCGCTCTCGCCAGGTGATACACTGCAGCTGCTGGTAGAAAATCTCGGCCGCGTCAGTTTCCAGCAATACATGGACGATCAGAGGAAGGGCATTGTGGGGAATGTCACCGTCAGTGGGGTGATCCTGCGAGATTGGTCCATGTATTCACTGCCACTCGTCTCCCTGCCGAGTCATGTGAGATCCGTCGCAGGCACTACTTTATCTTCTCGTTCACACGACGAGGTAGAGCGCAAGTTAGGATCTCTTACGTCTCCAGTGTTCTTCGCCGGAATCTTGGAAAGCACCGTGGCTGGAGACGACGACTCTGCACGGGATACATTCCTGCACCTCGAGGGCATAACCAAAGGTGTGGTTTACGTCAATGGTTATAACATTGGCAGGTATTGGGTAATTGGTCCCCAGCAGAGTTTGTACGTGCCGGGATGCTTTCTTAAAAGGAGCGGTCGGAACGATGTAGTTGTGTTGGAATTGGAGCCTAGAAATGGCTACATGCCAGCTGCGCAAGGACACCCCACTCGAATATGGGGTAATAACTACGATCCCGATGCACCATACCAGCAGTAGTTTGAGTATCGAGGCAGGAACTCCCAGATGTTTAGTTGAGCTCCCTTTCCTCCCAGTTGGCAAACTTGGTGGCTTAACTCAGGCTCAAATAGTAGCTAGAATGCCTTCGGAGTGGGAAATATAGCTACAATGTTTATTACCCGCCATGACTTTTTGGAGCCGTCCACTAATTTGATTTTGACTTTTTGTTTGAAGTTATGAGTTCGTCACGGTGCAGGACTGGTCGCAATCCCGGCCATAAGCTAGTGAAGTCCGGGATAACTGCCGAAGTCTCGCTAGTGAGGGCCCTACTACTAGGAGGCTGATAGCGGTCTCTGAACAAAGACCATGGAACTCTCATTACCTCTAGCTTCCTATGCATCCGAATTTTTCAATTGGGGTAACAACAAAGTCCCGAGTTCTCTACGTGGGTCTCATATCAGCCACACTACCCCGTGCAGATCCCTCGCTCGGGCCCTGAAACATGTCCACGCATTCTCCGCCTGTTTTCCACCCATTCTTGGCTCTTTTCCACTTGTATTCTCCGCCCGTTTTCCACTAGGCTAACCTCCTTGTGGAGGATGGCTAGGAAGATAAATGTTCAAATTAGAAACTTTCAATACGTTGAACGTACACATACACATCGAGGCAGCAGGGCAAGCCCCCATCCTTTGCTAAACCGCTATTGTTCTACTGCTATATTATATTTGGTCCCTGTTCTATAATGAAAGCTACCACATAGGCAACCGCTGAGTATTGGTATGGCATACACCCTAGGTACCGGAGTTTATGCAAGTGACCGCATAGGTTACGGTATCTTGAAAGCATCAAGGTGTAGACGTCGCCCATTGGAAGCCAACAGTGATAGGTGGGTGCCTGAGGTGTCAGCGCTAACCGCCTCTTTTGCTAGATAGACCTTCCCTTCTGGGACATCACTTTTAGTAATAGCATCATCTCATTCGCTTCTCTCTGTCTAATGATCTCCATGGTCAGGTCTTGCCATGGCTCTCTCCAAACTTCCCTGAGTCTCGTCGCCATCAAACAGGCTTACATACCTGGAAGCCTTCGAAATCTAAACGTATGTGCAATCTCGCGACTGAGTCTAAGTGTGGTCTTATCTCAGGGGGAGTGGGCTCCCGCTCGGAGGGGGAGGCTAGCACTTAGCCCGACGCGACTAACTGCATTGCCATGATAACTCAGTAGTAGTATCACAAGAGTTGGAGCTGGGTTTCCCTACGTTTTCCGTGATCAAAAAAATTCATCTCTCTTAAGAAAAGCCGTCGTTCACACTTGCGACGTGAGAGTGCTCGTCCAACTTGGGACACTGACGGACTTGAACAAGGTATTGAATTAAGATACACGATAGAATTCCACAGTATTTGTCTACCTGCTTATTTCCTAATCAATGAGACAAAATCGAACATCATGCTGCTATGCGTCTTGCATGTTCTCTCCGTGAGTGCAAAAACGAGACCATGCTATTGCCAAGACAATGCGTTCACAAGCCGATCCAAACCAGATACAGACAGAAATTGGGCCTGTAGCACATAAATTAGGGATTTGCAGTTCCGTGGTCCATGACGCGCTTCTCTTTCTTTGCAACTTGGAGCTTCTTAGACATCTTGACAGGATTCACACCCGGTGTCTCAAAAACAAGGTCGATTTCCTCTAAAGACAGATGGCTGAACTCAGGGAAAAATTGCCAAGTAAGATATAGGCAGATTGAGTCAATTCCAATGAAGAGAAAGTATATCTAAGTGCTTAATTAGTTTTCAGACTTGCGAAGAGAAGCTCGGGAGATCTTACCTTCCACTGCCATGCTTGCAGCGCATATGACACGCCGTATGTCATGATAAATCCGAAGCAATTTTGGAAGAACGAATATATTCCCATGCCCTTGGCACGTTGCGAATAGTGGAGCACTTCATTCGGGTATATATTGTGAAGAACCGAAACTTTTCATGTGACACAAAATTTAGTTCAGGGTTGCAGAACATAACGCCAAGAGCAGAGCAGTCCAACTTACCAAAGAGTCCAGTACAGGCATTGAACATGAAGATAAAGGCGACAGTAGCGATACCCGTGGCATGGACACTGATACCACTGGCATAGCATCCACCTGTGATCGAAATAAGGGCGAGGAAGAAGATATAGATGCATAGTGAGAACATGAGCAGGAATCGTCGTTTCAACTTATCAATAAAGGCGGATCCGATCAAAGTGGCCACATATGACAGGACTGTGAGGCCCAAGTTAATGCCGAGCTGCTGTTGTGTATTGGTTATGCCAACCAGAGTAAGGATGCCCGCAAAGTAGTAATTCAAGAGAACACTTCCGTTGCACTGCTGGAAGAAACTATAGAGGAAAATGATCCAAAGGCGCCTGCGGGAAGACGTCGTCTTATACAAGCACGTGAAGTCCCACGCCTTGCTGGACATTATCTCCAGAGACTCGCGTATCTGTTGAATTTCCGCCTCAACGATGGCATCGTTGACATCCTCAGAGATGGTCTGGTAACGGGCAATAACCAATCGAGCTTGTTCCTCATTGTTCTTGGCCACCAGGTACCGAGGCGACTCAGGCGTGCAGGGGTAGACAAGCAGGGCTACAATGAGAGGCGGAGCGATTTGAATGACCATCGGCAAGCGCCAGCTCCAGTTGCCATCCATGTAAGAACCACCAAGGACAACGCAAGCAATGATGATGGACCCAACACTGTAACAAGAGCAGTATAGACCGACAGCTAGACCGCGGTAGCAGGAAGGGGCCACCTCGCTCATATACATTGGGCCGCAAGTGGCGGACAAGGACGCGCCCATACCAGCCAGCAATCGTCCGACGATAAGACAGGCACCATTAGGTGCCACCGCTTGGAGAACACAAGAGACGACCAGGATACAGCTTCCGAGGAACGTGACACCACGGCGTCCGATCCAGTCAGCAAGCCACTGAAAGGGACTAGCGACAACATTACCAATGGACATCGCAGCAAGGATAATACCGAGCTTTCCGCCGCTTGTTCCCACATTGAAATGGGTACGAAAAGCGGGGAGTGCATCGATACTTCCGATGACATTTCCATCGATGGCGAACGCGGCGCAGCCTGTTCGTCGCAGAAATGGTGAGCTTCAACGTTGACGGGAATAATGGTGGACTGTGATGGCGAAGATTGGTGAGACATACTTAGACCCTGGATGAGGATAACCACAGCCAATCGTAAAGATGCTTTTGAGTTCCATTTCATGGCGTTCTTGGCCATCAACTCAATGTCCATGCGATTGAGATTGTGCTTGGCATTCTCAATGTGATAATGTTCCGATTTACTCTCCATCTGGACATCTTCGGTAGAGGCTACAACCGCTCTCTCGGTGTCAATCTTGGATGTCATATTCGAAACAGGTACCAGTGTCGAGGAGTTTTAATCTGTCAAGTTGGATCAAAGATAGAGGGAGGAAGGTCCACTCGGGTGATTCATAGGAAGAATAGAGAGTATGGGTGGGTGAGTAATTGGGAGAAGATGAGCGACGGACCACTAATATATATATTCTCTTTTCTTATTGAGCGTTTCGGCGCACTCTCCCCATGCCCCAGTTAATTCTCTAGGTTACCCAGCCACGGGGGACCAACCCGTTCTCACCGGTCCAGAACTTACCCCGGAAATTCACTCATGGACCATGGAGAGCGCCACAATCACAAAACCATCCAACAATACTATTAGACAAATATCATGCGTCGGATAATAGCCACGAATGTCCGGTACGAAGAATCCAAGTCCTCAGTAGACTTTTTCCCGAGTACAAATGGTATAATAAGCGTGGCGGCCAGTGCAACAATCCCCGACGCCCAGGGCTCCGGGGGTCGGGGAGGAGTGGGTTACGGAGTGGGTTAGGGTTTTTCTGACTGTACCCGGCTATTCGGTCGCACGAGTCCCCGGATGTGGCCCGACTCGAGCCATCTTGTGACAGATGAGCGAATCAAGAACCATCGTTGATCCTGGACTCGTTGCCCTCTACCACAATTGTTGAGATCGCATGGTTGGTCATGTGACACTCCCCGTCAGAGCCGTACAGATAGACTGTCTAAATAGCTTCATCTCTGCCTCTTTAGACTCTCTCAGCCAGTCCATTACTTTCACATCTTCACTCCCCAATCGCCAGTATTCCGCTCTCAAGAACAGTTATGGTGGTTATCTCCTGATACCGTCTAGCCGAGACCCTCCCAAGCCACTGCCCGCGAACCTTCAGGGCCTCTGGAACCCGAGCTTTGCTCCGCCCAGGGGATGCAAGTACACGATCAACATCAACCTGCAGATTAAATATTGGCCAGCGGCAAGGTGCGGACTCGTATGACTGCACGATACTAGTGCTCTATCTATTCGAACGCATGGCCGCCAAGGGCCATGTGACCGCCAGGGCCATGTATGGATGTCATGGCTGGTGTGCTCACCACAACACTGACATTCTTGAGAGCTGGAACACTGGCGGCCAAGAAGGAAGATGTGAAGTAATGGAATTGTCTGGGGGTCTGAAAGTGGAAGTTATGCAGCTATCTAAAGGTCTATCTATCTTGAACGGCTCTTGGCGAGGCAGTGTCACATAACTATGGGATCTCAAGAGTCAACAGACATCTGGGATGACACAAATCCTCAAGGTCGGTGGATACTAGGGGGTTGTGGGTTGCAGTTGACGTCGCACAAATGCTGCATTATCAATCCTATGAGGAGATGCATAAGAGACTCTTCCCAATAGTGGAAGGAGCTGTTCAGTTCCTTCTAGACTTTCGGACTCCCTCCTTGTTGAGCTGCTCCTGCTCGTTTGGACAGGTCATGTACCGTTCTCCCCTCCATGACTTCCGTCCCTCTCTTTCCTCTCTAGACTCCACCCGTGGCCAATATCTCGTGACAAACCAATCCTTGTCGCTTGAGAATATCTTCATCTCTGAATCAGGAGAGAGGGGCATCTTCTGTGAAAGGTCTGTCTTGGATATGACACTCGTCCGCATGGCCTTTGATCAGTTCCTCTGGGCACAGAAGCCCTCGGCCTGGAAGAGAATTCCCTTGTGAACCAAGTTCGACGTGTGTATGATTTCTCCCATCATGGTGAACCAAGAGGGCCTCATCTGGAGTGAGGACTGAAGAACCATGACGAGGATGGTCCTGGACATCGCCATATCTCACACCTATTTGGGTTATATCCTGGCGAGATGATTAGTCGCGTCAAGTCACCTCATCTTCTGCAATTTATTCTCATTTTGCGGGAACAGTGTCTTAATCTTAGCATTACCACTCTCTACAGTTTACAATTCGCTCGGCAGTCCCTGTGTGTATGCCTCAGCACTCTTCCTAGCACTGTTAATGGATGCCCGAGACACGACCGACATATGAATACTGGCTACGGGCTATACCACAATCACCACCATTTGGTATTCGTTGCTGCAACGGCTCATTCATAAACATTTTGCTTTATACTTACCTGTGCGACGGCAATCTGCGTCGAGTTCGGTGGAGGTTGTGTGGCTTAGGGTAATAGTGGGTCTTGAAGTCGACGTCGGCGTTGCCACGACTTGTGGATGTACTGCTGCTTCGACTGCCATGGATTGCAACAGACGAATAACATCTAACCTGAATGAATGATTCTCCTAAAAAGGTACCGATTTTAAAAAAAAATGATCGAGCTCTCCCTATCTTTGATCGATACTTGCAAAAGGAAATATGTTATCATATTACTGGAAACAGTGTCTATATAGCATGACGGCAAGCGCCAATATGGCCTGTCACTCATCGATGGAAACACCACAGGGTCCCCAGATGGTTCTGTATGGCAAGTCGAAGGCGGCGCTTCATGAACAGAAGCACACTTCCTCACATCACATCGCGTGTCACCGATTGGTAGATGTCGAATGAATGGGCAAATGAGACCCCATACGAATCCTAATTGCGTGGCCAGACTTTTACCATCCATTGGAAGCTTCAAATAGTCCGATTATGGAGGCGTTGTGGTATTCTTGATCCTCATCATCTTAAATTACCCGCTATTCTTGTAAAATTTCCCGCACGTAAATATGCATCCCGTGGCGAATTCCCCAGAGCATACTCCAAGTTAAACCCACGATCGTAGAATTGACAGGTTCTGCGCTAGTGGCTTCGGTGGGGCGAGAGAATCACAAGACAACGGGCCAAATTGCAGATGGAGCCTTTTCCGCACTGAAAGCCGCCGAGGTGGATCGCTCATGCGGACTGTTAAGAAAACCAGCATCCAGGGACAACTCAATGTTGCTACGCCACTGCCAAGATGGTGGCGTCGACGCCAGTGTGATAGATAATTGGACCCATTTGAAGTAAATCGGGCGGCGTCAAGGGCGGAGTAAAAGCATATCTCATTGGCTACTAACCGGTCACCACTCTCACCAGCAACGTCACTGCTCACGCGTGCAGTCGGCGTTTTCTGGATCCTACAATCAAATTTCTGCACATTCCGCCCGTAAGCCGCCTCGACACATATCACGGCGGAAGAAGAGTCCGTCTTAAGTCAGTGACGAAACTGCGCCTTAGTGAAGTACGAGTATGGGAGCGTCCATGTGTATTCTGTCATGCCGAGCACTATCGGCTTAATTTTATTGGAAATTAGTCCAATACATTCGCGACGCCCGTCGACAAAGTTAAATAAGAGTATCTTTTACTCAATTGACTGCAGAATCTGAAAGACAAGAAACGCAAGGCGGAAGATTTGCCCTGTTTGTCTCTCCTGAAAACCGTTCAGCAATGTCTTTTCCCAACAAGCAGCCGGACTGGAACAACCTCTATGTCTTGCACCGAAACACGCTTCCCCCCAGGGCACATTTCTTTTTGTATTCCAGCGAGGCAAAAGCCTTATCCTTTGACCATGAGCAGAGCGAATATGCTTCACTAAACGGGACCTGGAAGTTTCACCATGACAAGTCCCCCTTTGAGGCGCCTGGGTGGGAGGGTGTTCTGGGCTGGGACGATATCAAAGTCCCAGGCATGTGGCAAGTCCAGGGCTATGGCCGCCCGCTATACACAAACGTCAACTATCCGTTCCCAGTTGATCCGCCTAATGTTCCCTTCCTCAACGAGACAGGGTCATATTGGAGGGAGTTTACCGTTCCCCCGAATTGGATCGCTCAGCAGGTCCGCCTTCGATTCGAAGGCGTTGATAGTGCCTTTCATCTCTGGATCAACGGCCAGGAGATCGGCTACAGCCAGGGAAGTCGGAACCCTAGCGAGTTCGACATTACCAGCGCGTTGAATGACTCTGGACCCAACAGCATTGCGGTGCGCGTTTACGAGTTCTGCGATGGCTCATACATTGAACGGCAAGACCAATGGCTGCTCTCTGGCATCTTCAGAGACGTATACTTGATTTCATTTCCAAAGACGGCCATCACCAACTTCACAACCGTTCCTGAGGTTTATGATGGCTTCTCAAAGGCCGTCTTGCGCACTACAGTCACTGTTCAAGGGGAATGCCCCGGACTCGTCAATGTCAAGCTCATCAGCCCCAATGGTACTACAATCAAGACGGATTCATTCGACCCGTCTTCCTCAAATGTCATTGAAGTCTCGGAAGGGCTCAAGCTGTGGTCAGCCGAGAGCCCTGCGCTGTACACAGTGATTCTGTCGTACAACAATAGATTCATCAGCCAACGCGTCGGTTTCCGGCGTATCGAGCAGAAAGGTTCTAACTTCCACGTCAACGGGAAACCCATCATTTTTTACGGCGTCAATCGGCACGAACACCACCACTTATACGGCAGAGCTGTCCCTTATGACTGCATGAAGCAAGATCTAGTTCTTATGAAGCAAAATAATATCAACGCTTTGCGATGCTCCCATCAGCCGAATGACCCCAGTTTGTATGGGCTGTGCGACGAGCTTGGGCTCTATGTTATTGCCGAAGCCGACCTCGAAACTCACGGCTTCGATTCTGTGGAACGAACAAAGATTGAGAATCAGCACTTGATGAATGGTCTGGAGATCCAAGAGATCTCCTACAAGGCAGCTGCTAGGTGGACCTCGGATAGTCCGGAGTGGAAGGAGGCATACCTTGACCGTGCCATCCAGTTGGTGGAGCGGTTCAAGAACTACTCCTCCATCGTATTCTGGTCGTTAGGCAACGAAGCCTTTTACGGTCGAAACCATGCAGACATGTATCATTGGATCAAGGCCTTTGACCCGACTCGTCTGGTCCACTATGAGGGAGACCGTGAAGCCACTACTGCCGACATGTACAGTGTTATGTACGCTTCAATCGACGACCTCAAAAAACATGTGTCAGAGAAGACGGATAGACCTTTGATTCAATGCGAGTACGGCCATGCGATGGGTAATGGTCCCGGCGGTCTCGCAGAGTACATTGAGACGTACCGTTCAGAGCCGCTGTTGCAGGGAGGGTTCATCTGGGAATGGTGCAACCACGGATTGCTCAAAAAAGAGGGCAACACCTCGTATTTTGCCTACGGCGGTGACTTTGACGATCATCCCAACGACGCAGATTTTGTCTTGGACGGCCTGGTTGGGTCGGAGCACAAACCCAGCCGCGCCTTGGCAGAGTATAAAAAGGTCATCGAACCTGTCTCGGTCTCTCTCAAAGGGGAAAACCTCCTGGAAATCCGAAACCACTACGACTTTGCGGATCTGGGCCATTTGATCCCCTCGTGGTATGTCGTCACAGAGTCTGGGAGAAGCGATCCAGTTCAGCTGTTTCTTCCCCAGGTCAAGCCCGGCGACACTGTCCGGGTAAAAGTGCCTGATGGGGTGAGTCGAGGCAAAGAGACCTGGCTCGTCATCGATTTTAGGCTGGCCGATGCAACCATCTGGGCACCGAAAGATCACCTAGTCGCCTGGAGCCAAGTTCCACTATTCGACCATGAACCCAAGCTCTCCCTCACCCTGCCATCCATGAAGGTGCTTGGCCCAATGGTTGTACGAGAGCTACCGGGCAGACTTTTACTCTCGTCGCCTGACTGTCAGTCTCACTTCAATTTGGACCTGATTCAAGGCAGCCTGCAGTGGTCCGGCGAAAAAGGAAGAATCCTGAACAAAGGACCCGAGCTTGGGCTCTTCCGCGCCCTTACTCAAAACGATGTTGGTTTTGGTGGTGATGCCGCAGAATGGAACAAGTTCCGTGTCGGCGCGTCTAAGATGTTCATTCGGTCGGTGACTTGGAAAGTCAATGACGAAGGTGCCATTACTGTGAAAGCCAAGGTGCGGGTCGGGCCAACAGCCCTTGAATGGGCTTGTATAGCAACCTTGGAATACCATTTTACGCCCAGATCTGTCTCAATAAAAACGACAGGGGGCTTCTCTGGTACGCACCCAGAGAACCTACCGCGCATTGGCTTCACTCTTTCCCTTCCCAAACGCTTTGACAGAGCGGAGTGGTTTGGCAGAGGACCGGGGGAGTCATATCTGGACAAGAAAGAAGCAAGCCAGATTGGACGTTGGGCAACCACCTTAGAAGAGATGGAGACTCCATACGAGTGGCCGCAGGAGTACGGAAACAGGTCAGATGTCCGGTGGGCCAGGATCGTATCATCTGAGGTAGCTGGGCCTCAGTTGGAGATCAGAATGGACAAACCATTCAACTTCTCCCTTCGAAGATATGCCACGGATGATCTGCATGAGTCGAGGCATCCTCATGAGCTCACGGAGCTGAATGAGAACATTCTGAATGTAGACTACAAGCATCATGGTCTGGGCACTGGCAGCTGTGGACCTGCACCGTGGAAGCAGCATAGGTTGAAGGCCGAGGCGTTTGAGTTTACCATGCAGATGACGGTTTTAGACTAGCTACATATTTTGCACAGCTGCAGGACAGGGAACCTAGGTGGACTAAATAACGAGTCAGAAGTCGGGGGCGCGCGTACAACCCGCGGGGGTTTAACAAACATTATTTCTAGTAAATTATCATCTTTGATAAGGACCACCGTCATAATACATCTAATATAGAATACACCTAGATGCCCCCATGTGATGCTATAGCTTATTGTAAACCCCTGCGGGCCAAAGCGAAGTAGGTTGATGCAGAGTGCCTTCTGGAGGTTTCCCACTTCGCACAACCTGCTATCAAATGAAAAGCTTGTATCCAGGGACTGGAGGAAGCGCTTTCAAAGGTCTCAAGAGGAGAAATCCGCATATGTCTGCCGTTAGAGTTTTGTAGTACTGGATACTTCTTGAGGTATTAATCACTCTCTCATGTTGACTATAAAGCCAAAATCAGCCCTGCAGAGCCGTGGTGTAGCACAGTGGTTGAGATATTGTGATAATATGAGATACGGCATGGTTTTCTACTATCCCTCTATATGCCTATGGCAGAAGACAAAATCAGAGTGATGCGTGATGGCTACATGAAGGTACGCTCCCAATGCCGAATGGTCACATGACCATGCGGGGAATGCTTTGTTATCGAATCAAAGATGCCAACGCCAACAAAACTTCAATCAACTGCCATTCCACCAAAGACCCACGAAGGAAAGGAAAACTATGATGCTCAAGTGCATCATTCCTGGGTCTACCAAGGTCGTCAAAAACCCGGGACGATTCGTCAATAGGAGAGGTAGAGAATAGTCGACCTCGTAAAACCCGGGCTAACTCGGTCATCGCCAACATCCACTTTGCCACAGCAGGCGTGGCATATTCTTTGCACATATTCTTTGTGCTGTGGCACACAGGGCCTCATGAGGCCGTCAACAGCCTGTCACGCTTGTCGGTATGCTTGATTCCCATCCGCAAAATCCCTACTGTGAACTGACCTCAGACCGCAGACAACGTCGGCGGAAGTGCACAAGGCCCCGGCAAGGCACGAGTTGCGACTATTGCAACAAGAGGCACATAAGTTGCGCCCCTGGTCCAGAACTGGCGCTTCAGGAGGTCGGCTACGAGCCAATTGTGCCTCGAAGGCGGCACGCTCTGACGCATCGATGCAGACTGTTGCCCCCCAAAGACTTGTCCGAAAACCTGATTAACCTGTATTTTCGCTACATACACGTGGCATTTCACGTTCTCTTTCATCGAACATCTTTTATGGCAGCCTTTGAAGATGGGTCTTTGCCTAGGATTCTTCTCTATGCCGTCATAGGCCTATCGGCAAGGTTCTCTGACCATGAGAGTCTGGAGGCCATACCCCGCTGGGAACGAGGAAACCCGTACATCAAGGAGGCCGAACGCTTATTGAACCTCCATGAAATTTCCATCGTCACCATACAAGCTTGTATGCTCTTAGGCGCCGCCGCTGTGGTTGAGGGAGAAGGAGCCACCGAGTCTGTTTATTTCAGCATTGCCTGTCGCATGGCGATGCTACTAGACATACCCAACGGCCTGGTGACGACGCGCATAGATCAGGAGATTCAGACCCGAGGTCAGCAACGTAGAGTGTAAATTTGGTGTGTGTTCTTGCTAATGCGGCTTTCAGTATGGTGGACATTGTACGGGACCGACACGTGGTCGTCCTCCGGAGTTCGATTACCCAAGATCCTACCTCAGCGCGATGTCCCTCTACCGATGGCGGAAGGTGAATTTTTGGCATTGACGACTTCGACTCCTCCTAGCCCGAATCAGCTCGTGAACCCGAGTTTACCCATGTCAGAGCTTTCTGTGCCTGCTGAGTCCTTGATGGCATATTCAGTGCTGCTAAACCAACGGCTTGCTCGGATTGACGAGGTTAATTCCCATGCCGTGTCCGGTGACCTCTATGGTCAAGATCTCTTAGAGGCTGTCAGTGACATCTCGATGGATCTTGAAGCATGGAAGTGCGCTCTTCCGGAGCACATGCAGAACATTGCTGGTAATATGGAATACTGGACACAACAAGGGCTTAGCACCGCCTTCGTTCTCCTGCATATTGACTTCAACCACTTCAACCAGCTACTCTTTTACCAATTCCTTCACGGCAGTGCGCAGCGAGCGTCACCGTTCTCAAGAACCCACCAGTATGCTCAGAAGTGTCGACACCATGCTACGGAGCTGTCAAACTTGATTCACTTGGCCAGTGTTACACCACGAGCCCAGCCTCTTTATTCCCTTGGTGGTCATGTTTTAGCGATTGCATCGACGGCTCTTCTGCACACCTTCCTCTTCGCCGACAATGAGGTTGAACAGCAGAGTGCCAGGCGACTCCTCGAGCGAAACTTTGAGTTTCTTACAACACTGAGGGAGTATTGGCCGTGTCTCGATGTTACCTTCTCACGCTTTGAAGCATTCCACAATGCGTGCATGCATTGTCGGGATGATTCGCATTTTCGGATGGATCAGTGGATGCTAAAGTTCATGCATGAATTTGCGAAGCCTATCAGTGAGAGACGGTGGGATACAATGGGGGAACAGAAGACCGAAAAATGGTCTTTGGCTAGCCTAGGGCTAAAGTAGAGACTTTGCTGCTAGCTGATTGATCGCATTCGGGGCTGACCATGGAAGTCCAGGGAGGAGGCACTAAACCCTGGGCTCACCTCAATTGGCCACCTTTCAGTTCAGCACATTACGAATCTCGGCAGCACCATTGATTTGTATGACTGCACGAGAGGACTGAGCATCAGCTATGAGCATGAGCATGAGATCAGCCCTTACTTCACCAGGGCCTTCAGAAGGAGGATGTTGATTAGTATGTGAGGCCAGACGTTTACAAGAAGGGAGATGTCACAAGCGGAGAGATCAAGGTAGGCCATAACAGGAAGAACCCTTAGCAATTATAGGAAATTAATCCTATTAGTGATAGCAAAATGAATAATACGTAAGCTACCTAAAAGCAAGAGCAATCTACTACCTTGGATCTTAGTCTGGATCTAACACCGTCTAATGATAAAGCTACAATTCCCTTACTAGAGATGCAATAGCGTATTTCAGGAGAAGTCGACAACGAGTAAGATAAGGATGATGATCAGTTTATAGATATCTTAGCTATTTTGAAATTTAGAATGCATTCCTCTCAATTTGAACCTTCGTTCATCCTATAATTCGTTTCTATCCAAAATCTAGATATAAGCCAAATACTTCAAAATATGCAATTTAAGATGTTTTCTACGTTTGCACTTTTGTCTTTATTAGACTGACCGCCACCATCTTTGTGTCGCTTCCCAGTACCCGAACGTTTGTATATTTTAGAGAACTGGCGATTAGTCGCTAATTTTGTAGATAAGAGACTTATTTTACATGGACACAAAGTACTAAAAGTCATGTAGAACGTGACCAATTAGTGCGCTGTTTCACAAGGCACAGCAATGAAAGGGTAAACTCTCTCGGTCAGCCTGGTTGAGTAGTTAAATGAAACAGTGCAAGGAGATAAGTTAACTCCGGCCACTCCCCTCCTAAATACAACACTCGCCGATCGACTCGACCTCGGATGTCTCTACACATAACAGAGTCGCAAATCAATCTCCACAAAAGAATAGCAGAAAATCAAAATGGCAGCAGCACGTCCCACTTGGTTGATTACTGGAGCCTCATCCGGCCTTGGCAAGTCGCTTTCTTTGGAAGCTCTCAAGGCTGGCTACAAGGTCATTGGAACCACTCGTGACGTCGGCAAGGCTGAAACCGCCTATCCCGATTTCTCGGCCAAAGGCGGCATCTGGATAGGCATAGATCCTGCTGAAGAGGATGCATACGATCAATTCGCCAAGTGCTCTTTGGAACACAATGTGGATGTCCTTGTCAACAACGCGGGTTACGCGTTCATTGGGGGTGTCGAAGATACCAGGTGCGTGGCGTTTCCGTGCTCTTTACCATGCTGGGAGTTCATTTGCTGATGTATTGAGTTCATTACAGTGAAAATGAAGTGCGCGATCAAATGGAGGTCAATTTTTATGGGCCACTTCGCGCTGTTCGAGCGTGTCTCCCTGTCATGCGTGCAAGAGGCTCCGGTCACATTGTTCTGGTTAGTAGTGGTGCCGGGTAAGTTTATTGATTCATTTCTCGGTCTTTCTCAATCCATTGTCTAACAGAGAAATTGCACGGATCAACAGATTCATCGCCCGTCCTGGAAGAGCCACCTACTCTGCTAGTAAATTTGCCATCGAGGCTGTTCACGAGTCACTTTCCCACGAGGTGAAGACGCTCGGTATCAAGATCTTGATAGTAGAGCCGGGCGCTTTCCGTACGCCATTTTCTAGCCGCATCATTACCCCGGCTCAGTTCGAGAACGGCTTCAGTGAGGGCTACAAGGGTACTGCGGTAGAGCAGATGGTCGCTGGGTCTCGACAGATCACGTCCATCCCTGACTTTGTCAAAGGAGACCCCGATAAGGCGGCACAGGCAATAATCAAGGCCATAATTACGGGCTATGACTATCTTCGCATGCCCCTGGGAAAGGACTGTGTGGCTGCGTTGGAGTCCAAGATTGGGGAGCTACAGAGGGACCTCGAAGCTACCCGGCATATCGCCACATCTACAGATATCGATTGATTGAAGCATGGGTTAGGAAGTAACAACGCAACTATATGAATGGCTCACAACCCTTCGCAAAATATGAAGGAGAATTCACTAGCAAAAAGAAATGATATTCCTCTAGAAGCCACCAATGAATTACCCACTCCCACGTAGCCAACCCTCGAGAAGTTGCTTCGCTGTTTTCCTTTCGTCTGGCACCCAAGCCATGGTCGAACGCAGGAAGTCTGTGCAATCTCACCCCTTGTCTCGGAAAAAGTAACATCCATTCATCCTATACCAATAAAACACATACCCCTCGTGGCCGGTCACATGTGCATATCGGTGGCAGCCATAATAAAGCCAAGGTCAATATTGATCAAAATCCAAGGTTTCTGGCTAACTTGACCGGAACTTTCTTCAGTCTGAACTCGGCACAGGCGGCACATTACTAAGGACCGGTGAACTTAAGAGACAATAAAAGGGTTAATCAAATTGCCAATGGTCTATATCTATCACATTTTGCCATGTCACATAATAATTTTGATGGGCTGCCGCCGTTCCTCGTCACGGAAGCCACCAATCGTACACGCGTTCACAAGCAGACATCTCGCCTCGGTGGCAGGACGACAGAGAGCTCTTACAAACTCACGGAAAGTCCTTAAAATATTGCACAGCCCACCACCAGCAGCTACTGTCCCCTCGTACGCATCCTGTAGGGCGTCGAATTGCAGCCACTCCGTTCCTGCGCCTTCATGAACATGCCCAAACACATGCAATCGTGGCTGAGCAGACCAGAGTTTCCGTAGGAGATGGACGCAGCCGAGACCGAGTCTGTCGAGGTGTGCACGTGGCGGCCCGTGTGTGATAAGCACGTCAATACCATGCGGGACAGCGTCAGCCCAGACATCCTTCTCACGAGGATATTGGAATGCCGGTGTGCCATATCGGGCCGATTGGGGACTGCCATATATTCGTAGGCGTCGGCCATTGGCACAGACGGTAGTAGTCTCTGCGTTCTCCAAGTAGATGATGTCTCCCCAGTCCAGCATCTTCCGTTCGGCCGCTCCTTGTGGGTTGGTTCGAGCGTCGCACTCCGGATCTAGCAGTAGATCATGGTTGCCTGCCACTACGATTTTGGTCGGATGTGGTTGCGCTCGCAACCAATTTATTGCAGCTTGCAGCTCCTTGAATGTCCCCGACTGTGTCAGGTCGCCTGCATGGATGAGAATGTCGGCATGTGGGAGCTCTGGTTCATAGTTGTGCGTGTCGGAGATGCAGACTATTGACACCGGATCTGCTAGCGGCTGTGCTGGGATCGTCTGCTGCCAAGTATAGAGCTTACGAGCCAGGAACAAACATGGGTGGTCCTGAAATTGCTGCCAGACCCCTAGGCGAGGACGGCTGAAGAGCGCATCCAAGCCGCGATAGGAGAAGAGTGACATGGCTCAAAAAGGAACAATTCCTGTGCATTGATTGGGCCCGCCCTCTCCGTGCAAGTTTTGACGCTCGGAGTTTGGAAAGTCATGGGGTGATCAAGAATGTTTTTCCGCCCGGCGTTGATTGCCTAATGTGGCCCCACATTGAGATTGTGCTTCATCATGACGATCACTGTGGATCTCCGAATAGGACTCGTCACCATAGTACTTACACTGTAGGACAAACCATCTTGTTCTTCCCCTCTCTTTGTAGACCACCTCCACAGACACTGAAATGAAACCTGAATCATACACCATCTAGGAAGTATAGTTCCACCTCAAGAAAGTACCAGGAAATGAGAATTACCGTGACGAAATAGTCAATCCAAGTCATTCAATGAATTGTTGATCCCCCTGTACCTCAGCCATCCTTAAACTCTTGTCAAACTACATACTGTACTGCTCTCCAACTTCTCCGCATCTCTCTGCATTCCAGACGGTGGGTCGATCTCCCAACGCGAACTTGTGTCACATTGCGAGGATATCAAGGGTGGGATAATGAGTCCAGCCCTCGTGAATGCGGTATATTGCCAATTAACCGGGTCTTATTCTGCAAGAATCCGACATTCCGCCGATGTCGTACCCCTGCCGAACCGAGCTTGCTGAAGCCGTTCCGCCGACGGGAACTTGCATCATAGAAACATTCGACTTTGGGCCATTAGCCTGACCATGCAAGTCCATGCGGTAGAAGACATACAGTAGTCTGTATCCGCTGAAAGTTTTTGTAGCCAAAGCAATTTCTTTTTCCTTTCGTGTTCGTAGTGTGATGCCTAGAAGGCGTCATCTAGGGCTAGGCCATGTCACCTCATCCCTGCTTCGTACAAGGGGCAGGCAAAAGGGAATGTGATGAGTGAATGGCTGAACCTTTCATCTTTGTTAAATAAACTGTCACTTGATGCGAAGGTTTAAGTTCTTCCCAGTTCAAAGTTCACCACAATGCCGGCCCGTCCCGAAGTCCCGACAACAAGCTTAAAATGACGGGAACGTGACGCCGTCCTGTGTTCATACAAACCAGCCAAAGCTAGAAGGTCAATTCGAGAGTTTAATCTTGCTATATGTCGTCAGTCTTGTTTTTTTAGCGACGGGCACCTTGCATCAGAGTGTTTTGTTTACCCGTGGTCTTATGCAGGCCGCCTCTAGTTGCTAGTGGTATCAAGTAGGTGGCCTAGAACGTGTGTTTGCCATGGTTCAAGAAAGTGCTGCCTTTCGCCTCTTTGTTTTCTTTTCCTTCTACCTCGTGTCCTTCACACACCAGACGCGCTCCCCGTACCCCTTCTGCCTTCACGCACTCCTACCGGACCTACCTCCGTCTTTAACGTTTATCAGACCATATCAAGGTGAGATATTCGGCATTCCCTGCTGGAGCATCGTTCTTCTGACTGGGTATTAGATATCCGCCTCTTCTTCTTCTTCGCGACGTATCTTTTCTTCCATGCTGATAACTGGGACTTGATCTGATCATGATCATGTAAATGGCATCTTCTTCTCATATCAGTCCTTGCACTTGTTGAGGATCGATCAGATCTTCTACCCAACGCGCCGAGACCTAATCTGTCTGAAAAGTTAATGCAAGATGGAGCATAAACTACCGCATAGCCTGGTAACTATGTCCATGGCTCCACGGGAGGCTCAAAACGGAGAAATACAAATACTGGACCTCTTGGGGATCAAGAACCTCTGGAGAGGTATGCAAGATCGCTGTCGCTAAAAACAGTCAGTGATGCTGACTCCCTTCTGCGAAGCCTACAATGTCTCGCGCCAGACGACCAACACTGAGGGAGAGCTCCGGTTGGAGTGTCTCTTCTGGAGAATATGGGGCAGCCAGCGTCTCTCTAGCACAATCACTACCCAGACTTTGGATGGACTGGTACTGAGAATCATGACTCCCTCTTCGCATGAATTGCCCGCGACTCGTCATGGAAGCCAGGTATACATCTACACCACTGTCGACGTTTGGTCTGCCTTTTCTGATTCTTTGATATAGGCCGTGCATGTTGACAGTGACCCTCCGACCACTACTATCCTTCACCAGCACCCCAGCGTGCACACTCAATCCCAAACTGCCAACGGCACAAACAAGGCTGGGCTCCATTCAATCCTAAAGAAACCGCACACTGCACAGAGTGAGCCCCAGAAGACTACTCGTCTCCTCCTTGAGCAACCCGATGGAAATAGCATCACTCGTAACCCTTCTAACCCTCCCACCCCCAACATGGCTGAGCTGAATACCCAGGAGAACCACCCGGCTCGAACGGGACAGAAGAAGACATCCTTTGCCGCTGGCCGATCGAAGCGAGGCCTAAGGCGTCGACCAGCTTTCAACCGCCGGTCATCCTCGCAGTCATCCGTCTCCAAGTTTTCGTCTCCAATCCAATCAAGTTCCCACACCTACGAGGTATTTGGCTCCTATGATCAGGATGACTCTGTGCTGTCTCCTCATGTCACTGCGGGCTCAGATACAACCACCGCAACAAGCTGGATCGATCTCAAGTCTGTTGAAGCATCGCTGCCCGTGCCGCACCCAGGCACTGGCACCACCGGAACCATGACACCTCCTAGCCCTGACCTGGCGATCTCAGATAAAGTTCACCCAGCCAAGCGGCCGGACATCGCCCCGGCCGTGCTGGCCATATCAGACAAACAGGATCCTATCCTGCCGCAGGGAATAGAGACGGTTAGTGACGACCCCCAGCGAGAGCCGACCCAGGCCACAAAGCAGAAATCTGAACCCGAGATCCCCAGTTCCTTTGAGGACTTCTTTTCTTTCCCAGAGATTCCAGATTTCCCAGACACCCCATCTCCCCCGGACACTACCGATCAACAACCCACCACAGACTCCATCCCCTCATCGCCTAGCCTTACCCAACTCGAACTCGCAGAAGCAGACAACTCCACCGAGATGCTCATCGAGCTCTTCAAAATCATCAACGACCGTGACCCCCTCCCGGCAGGGAAGGATGCGCCCCACGTCCCAATTCGGCCATGGTTCACGGCACAGCGCCAGTGGCTCCCGGCGCCGCGGGAGCAGAAACTCTTTGAGTGGATGTTGCAGGACCATACCTCTGTTATTTATCCGCAGCCGAAGAATGACCGACTCTTGCCGAGGAACTACCGGGCTCAGTGGGTGGCTGCTTTAAATTCGTGGAAATTTCATATAGCGAGGTCCAGGAAGCCTGGTTTGTACAGTCATAAGAAGGGACTTGCTATCCTAGGGACTATCTACGAAGAAGATGAGGTGGATGAGGAGCAGTTTGGAAAGGACCTGTGTACGCCTGAGAAGGAAGGGGAGTGGTGTGATTTCGGGTCAGCGGATGGCACTCTTGTTCCTGAGGAGGCCTGATGTCGATGATGGATGACGGATGATGGATGATGGCATTCAAGCCCATGCATACTTGCACAATCATCCTTCGAGGTTGTCAATATTGATCGATCGATCATGTACACAGTCTAGATTTGAATCAAGGCAAATGTGAGATGCAACTAATTCCTGTATTGTGCGCAAGAATAGGTGTGAAACAAAGCACGAAGATGTCAGACAGCCAAAGGAGCCTAACAAAAAAGATCACGTCCAGCGAAAGGACAAAAGCCACCACCGTAACGCCATGAGCTGAAAGCAATCCCAAAAGTTCGAAAAGATCAAGTGAAACTGTAAACAGTAGATCGAACTCATCTTCACACCACATCCACACGTATTTATTGATGTCCGAAGATCACATCTTTTAAAAGAAAGAGGGAGAGAGATAGACAATTCTCAGGTAGAAGCCGCATCACCCTTCTCGGCCTGACCAGACTCATTCCAAGCCATCTTGGCCGCCCGACGAGCCTTCAGATACCGCAGCAGAATCCACGAGGCTGTGAGACACCAGAAGACCAGATTCAGCAGATCAACCCAGACAGCATGGCGCATGCGATCAATCTTAGCAGCATCACCCAGTCCCGAAGCAGTATCTCTCTTGATAGCAATACTCGAGAGAGTATTATTCGAATTCGAATTCGAACCCGAGACGGACGCAGTCGAGTTAGAGTTGGAAGCAGAAGGCAAAGTCGAGTTCGAACCCGAACCCGAAACCGTATGCTCTCCAGCCGGATAAACGCCAATATACATCTTCCCAAAGAGCCCGAAAAGGACCAACCACAGGATACAAAGCAGAAGCTCCCACGAGAATTGGGGCAGCAGCAAACCCGGCTTGGTGTTGGTCTTGATGCGGCGCAGACAGCACGGCAGCACGAAGTGCGCGACTGTCGTCATCGTCGCTAGGAAGGCTGTCACGACGGCAAACACCCACTCCGCGTTCCAGGTGTGTAGGGTTTTATGGTCATAGGACACGTCTTGGCCGTAGAGTCCGATGACGGTGAGTCCGAAGACAAACTGCAGGAAGCGCGTTGCTGACATGAACATTGAGACTAGCTTGGAGCCTTTGCTTGCTGGTGGTGCTGCCGCCGCTGGTGCTGGAGCTGGTGCTGGTGCCATTGGTGGCTGTGCCATGGGGTACTGGTATGTTCCGCCAGGAGCGACGCCTGGTGGGTAGCCGCCGGGATAGTAGTCTGGCATTGCGTACTGGTAGTTTGGGTAAGGAGCAGGCGGTTGCTGTGCCTGGGGCTGGGGCTGTTGGTTCTTGGAGCTGTGGTTTTTCGCTTGCGAGTAGCCCAGGCGCAGGAGTTTGAGGGCAACAAATGCCATGGACTTGATATGATGTTTTTTGGGGGGAGTTTGGGTTAGGAATTAACGCCCTGGAGAGTCGAGAAGCTCAGATGGCGCCGCTGATGCAGTTCTCGAGTATAGTATGCAAAGGAAAAGATTGCGCGCAGCGCAATGGACGTCCGTGATAAGTCTAGTTATATGTTTCTCAAAAGCATATAGCGAAAAGAGAGCGGTAATAAGAAGCAACTCAGGATGGCAGACCTGATGCCAAAGAAAGCGGTTGGAGAAAAGAGAAAGCCCTAAGTATAGAGGGAGCAGGTGCAGGGGTGGAGGAACCAGGAGACCAGCCTGGCAGGCCACGAAAGAACAAAGAAATAGATCCTGAGATCGAATGAGAGCCTTTTAACAACAAAAGGAAAGTAAAATAAAAATCAGAACGATGATAACGAACCGGCGTGCAAAGAAAAGGAAAGGCGATTGATTTGTGGATGAACTGCTGTCCCTGGTGTGGTGGCCAGGGAACGTTTTATATCCCATCCAGCCGAAACGATTCCACGGAAAGGAAACAAAGACATGTCAGTTATTTTTGGGATACGCCCATTCGCGGACAATGAAACTCATCGGCGCCGACCTTTCTTTCAGTGTCTCCACTGTGTCGGCATGGCGTCGGAGCCTGTGAGCCATCAGAATCCGATCGGGAGGAGGACAATGAAACACTCTTTTTGGGAAATGTTAAAATTAGAACAGAATGTCAACAGGAGTTTGAGATGAAACAAATGATGATGATGATGATGATGATGATGACACAGCTGTTATTATTATTGAGAGGGTGAGCGAGGGCGTGACGCGGAAGATAATAATACATACAATCAATAATAGTGGTTTCGGCGAGTGCTTCAGTTGGCGCGCGCCAAATGGTGCGGATCCGGGACGTTTCAGCGTAGCGGTTGAGTTCGTGCACCAGGTCCAATCAGTCAGATGGCCTAATAATAGAGTGGTTTTAGTATTATTACTGAGAAATCCGTTTGATCAATCAGCGCTCAGTTTATGGGTCGGTGAGAACTGTATAGCCCAAAGCCCTACCAACCCTAGAACAATTACAATACTAAGGGAATCAAAACAATCAAATTCAACATATGCACATCGCTCAGTGGTTACAAGTACACAACAGAGAAGCTCTGCATGGCTATCTCTGGGGTCATTTCCATCATTGCCAAAGAGCACACCTAACATGGGGGTTGTTCCAACGCCATCAGGACCCGCGCGAGGCCAACCAACCCGATGACTGTGCTCGAGTACGATATGCCTGAGAGGGGAGTTCCTGGATGCATGCAATAATAACCAAAAAAAAAAAAAAAAACTCGACAAACAAACCGGGTAAGCCAAGACAGCCGAAAGGAAGTGACAGTGGTAGGATCAATGATTGGGAGGGTTTGCGGTAAGAAACCGACAACCCGTTCCAAAGCCGAGCCAGAAAGGTGATTATTCACCATGTCCAACAAATCGCTGAGATCGCACCAAGGAAGACGCAGCAAACTCATCAATATCAAAGCATACTGATCAAACACCCGGCCCGGCAATCCTAACCACGGTTATTGTCAGGCAGGTCTGCTAGCTGCGGCATCTGTGATTCCCCCGGGATCCGTGGCCGTCATTGCTGGGTAGTTTTCAGTCGGAAGAGGCGGCTTCAGATCCGATGGCGGAGGAGGCATAGACGCCGGAGCAGGCATTAAATCGGCTTCATCTTCATAGTCCTCCTCCTCATCGGACGGGTGCCCTGGAGGCTCACCAGCCAACCCAGCCCGGTACCCCTCGCGGTAGGCCTCTTCCTCAACTTGGTGGACGGCGGCTTGCTTTGACGCGTTCTTAGTGGCCTTCTTGGTCTTACGGCCCTTCATCTTCGCTTTTTCCAAAAGTCTTTTCTTCTCAGCCAGACGCTTCCGCTCCTTACGGTCTTTGATCTCGTATTGCCGAATGAGCGCCTCAGGCCGGCGGCCAAAAATGCTCTCATACTCGCAAAACTCGCAAATCCAAATATCCTCCATGGCTGGCGGATGGTGGAGATTGGTGTACTGCTGTTGGATCTTGCGTTGCCGTGCGGCCAAGCTGTAAATGGCACCCGGTGACCGTTTCTTTTTGCGGCCCACCGGAGCGTGTTCTCCGCCTTGGCCAGGCGGGACCTGCGTACTGGGCGAACCATGTTGGTTCATCTGTGCAGCCATGCTCGGACTGGTTTGCGTGCCTTGGGTGGAGAATGCTCTCGCATTGTGGCTCGCTGCGGCAAGAGGAGAGGTAGGCGAGCGGTGCGGACCAGAGAACGAGTTCCGCTGCATCGCCATACCTTTAGAAGAGTCTGATTCGCAAGTGAAGGTGAATTGTGTTTTGGTGGGGGTGGTGTTCTCTTGGTCCAGCAGACTGACGTTGCTGGGCCCTCGAGGGGGGGATGAAAGCGTTGCGGCATTTGCAATTGCGGTAGAGATGATGCCCTGATCAGTCGGAGAATCATCTAACAACAAAAAGGGTCAGCTTGTTGGGAATACACCAAAACGTCGGCAAAGCATACCAGATGGCCCAGGCGAGGACATGAGCCCATCCCGCCGGCTCGGAACTCGAGTGTTCATCCACGCGTTCTGAGCGTTAGCTGACAATGGGCCCCTGCCACTCCCACTGCGAACGGTGTTCCGCCCCAGGCGGCCTCTTCCAGACCCCGAGATTCCACTACCCAAGGGGCTCGCAGGGTTACCGCTGCCATAGTACGTCCCAGTGGTCACACCATCATTGACAGCCGCGGCTGAGCTTGAATTCGGAGTTGCCAAGCCCATGCTGGCAAACTCCGGAGACAAGGCGGAGTGATGACCCCCCGAGTTCCCTGGTGTCGGAATCTTTCTCTTCTTTTTATTATTGGTATTTTCAAAAGCATCGTAACCATCCGGACCCGCCGGTGACTTCACCTGAGGACCATCGCCATTAGTGTTCGGGTGGATGCTGGATGGGGACGGTGAAGACCCTCGAAACCCAGCACTCCGGCGAACAACTACCGGCCCATCTTCATCTCCGCTGTCCAACTCTGCTGCCGCCTCGCAATCATGGTGCGGGTGGCTTTGGTGGCTTTCCGCACAGCCGTCAACGCTCTGGGTCTGCCGCTGCCGCGCATAGGCTTTGGAGTTGTCCAGCACTTCTTCGGTGTCCGGGGAGACGCCGTAAAAGATCTGCGACGCGGGGAGAGAGGGAGGGTACAGTATCGTATCGGCAGCGTCCGTGGACAGGCGAGAGCGCAAGGTTCGTTTGGGGAGCGGACGAATCAGACGATCGGGATAGAGGGGAGATGGTGTGTCAGGGGCCGAGTTGAGCGTCCCGTCTACACGAGTGCACACGAAGTCAGTAACCGAGTCACCAGCAAACACCATTGACACGTTCCAGGTCCGAGCCCGGAAGGCCATCTGGCGGATCCGAGACGGGTGACATACTCAACATAGCAGTCATCATGCAAGTTGTCAACTCTCGCCCTCAACCACAACCAACGGTGTGTTTCGACTGCCTTTTGCCTTGTTTCCCCCTCCACCGGCTTTTACTGTGAGCGGGCCAGTCGTTTCGGAGATATGTGGTGTCGGAGAGAGATGGCTGATCGGGAGACTGATATCCAATGTTAGCCGTGTGCGGTGACACTCCACGCGACAACTAGGGAGCAAGCACGGTGTGCGTTTCTTCTACACCGTGTCATCCACCGGCTCGGCATGCCCCCCAATGGGCCACGGGATTCGAGGAGGAATATGGGTCTACCCACAACGAGCGAGTGTTATTAATCAGCACTCTCCAACCGAAGGGGGAAAAAAGTGTGCGGGAAATCAGTGGTGTCGGTGATGGGCGAACAAGAACACGAACAGCCCCAGCCAAGGTGAGCTGGAGCAGCAAAGAGAATAAAACAAGCAACGGTGGGGAGCCGAGGGAGACACGACGAGGGGTTGAACAACGGAAGTGAAAGAGTTAAAGCGAGAGTCACGGGGGTGCCGGAACGCTAGCCTGTTTGGGAAAGGGCAGGGCAGAGAACTATACCGTAGCCAACGTTTACTTGCACATTCCGATCACTAGTACGATGTGGTGACTAGATACCTAGAGGTACTATATTGATACCTACGGTGGACAGTACGCTCCATTCGTTATGATTCCTCCCATCCAATGCCTCCCAACAATCGCCATCGAGCAGTCTCGGACCACGGTGCACACCAATAATAACTCGTTCACCCTAGGTAGGCTTTGCTGGCCGCCACGAGCGGAAAGACGGCAGGGATTGAGTCTGCCACACAAAAGGTGTAAAGATAAGTCGTTCGAGGACAACGCAGCAGTCACGCCATTCGTCAATCCCTGCTGGACTGACGAACGACGACTCGGTCTCGCTCCGGGATCACGCTGGCGGGGGTCGGGAGTCGAATTTCGAGGTAAGAGGGGAAAGAAATGAACTGGTGGGCAGGGCAGGAGGAAGAAAAGAAAGAAGAAAATAACAGTGCCGAGAGAAAGAGGGAGGGAGAGAGAGGAATGATGATGTTGGATGAGTAAAGCGCGTCGAGAGCGGGGAAGCAGGGGCCTTTCCAGTTGTTCCCGTTCCGGCGCTTTTCTCTCTCTCTTTCCTCTTCCTCTTTCCTCCTCTAGTGTCCCCCTCACCATACTCTCTCTCTCCCCCAAAAGACTATGTAGTTATCGGGCTCTACTGCGAGCCTGGTGACGCTTTGCTTCTGCTTCATTCAATTGTCTGACTCCTCCTTCCCTCGACCCTGGCGCACAGCTCGCAGAAAAACGCGCGAGAGCTTCCTCGCCCTCTCGCACCCACCATTCAGCCTTGACCCTCATCCTGCTCTCGGTCCTACACCCTCCACGATCTCCTACGAGCTACGAGGTCTCCCTCTCGAGTGTCTCCGGCTTTTCACCGCCATGACCCCTCGTCGCTCTTCCCGAGCTCGCCTTACCCAGCCTTCTCCTACCCTCCTCCAACAGGTCAACTCCTCCAGCTCCTCCCAATCCATGGCGAGGGAAAGAAGTACCCGGTCGAACCATAAAGGCCCTTCTCCGCAGGGATCGTCTGGTCAGCGGTCCCAGTCCATCGACGATGGCGAAAACGGCTCGAAAAATGACCTCCCACACACGCGGCAGCGCCAACGCGCCCGCGACGACGAAGACCCTGATCCACCCCGCGAACAAGACGAAGATGACCCCGATGAGGAGGAGGAGGAGGAAATCACCCGGTGTCTCTGCGGCTCGCAGGACTATCCGGGTTTGCCTCCCTCTCGTCGTGAGGCCGTCGGTCGCGGCGGCAAACCCGAGTCGGGACTCCCGCCCACCGACTCGTCAGACATCCTATCGGACGATGTTGGCAGCATGTTCATTCAGTGTGACTCGTGTAAAGTGTGGCAGCACGGTGGCTGTGTGGGTATTATGGACGAAGAGACGAGTCCCGATGAATATTTCTGTGAAGAGTGTCGCAAGGACTTGCATAAGATCCAAGGCGAACCGAACGGGTAAGTGATGATCAATTGCCGGTGGGATTTCTTTTTGTTTGAGTTTTTGGGCATCGGCGACTGCATTTTGACTGCGCTTGACTATGCGTTCTTGCGGTGGCCACCAGCCGAGCGGCTGAGACAGCCCAAGTTGGCTTGGGCACAACCACCAGTCTGCATATGCAGCTCCCCGGTGCCTTGTGCTTTTTTGCAGGAATGATCCCCCTCCAGAACAGTCATGCTGATGATCTCCAGACAACGCTCTTCAACCTACCTCCCCGTCGCACCGATCGCCCACTCCCCGGCCCCATCCTCTCCAGCCTCCTCCCGAGATACGTCACGGCGCTCCAAGGACCCCAAGTTGCGGCTTAGTGAAGGCGCTATGTCAAGTACGAAGCGGCGCTCCACTATGAACAGCCGCGACGCCGCCTACGATGAAGAGGAACTCATCCGACGGGCAATTGAGGAGAGCAAGGAAGACAATAAAACCTCTGAAGATGAAACCACGATTCGGCGGGGGAAACGCAGTCGAAGTGATAGCGAAGCGTATGTGTCTTGCATTTACGGCCATGTGAAAACGGCAGCTGACATGCCTCGTGATGTAGCAACAGGGAAGGGACCAAGCGCCAACGGACAGCTTCACCAAGCCCCGATCCCGCAGCGAAACAGAATACCGCTACCTCTCAGCCTCCCTCGGACGACGAGTCTAAAGCCAAATCCACAGCGAATGGTACCCGAAGACAAAGAGCTGCGTCTCGAGGCCAGAAGGAAATGGCGAAAGAGCTAGAGGAAGTAGAGACAGAAGCTCAACGTCGCAAGGAAAGATCAAGTCGACGGAGAGGCGAAGGTAAGTGATCAATACCAACCACCCTGAGTGACTCGAAACTGACATGATGAACTCACAGAATCCGAAAATGGAAGTGTATCCCCGGTCAAGGCCGCTCCAATTGAGCCTGAACCATCACAAGCGAGCCCTATTACCCCTACACCTCAAGAACCAGTCCCATCTCGCCAATCCACGCGCAAGTCAGGCCGTCCTGGTGCGCGTCGTGGCGGCCGCGTCGGCCGCAACCAATACACCAAGGATCGGGATGTCAACGGCACTGGCACGGAGTCGGCTAACTCACCGCGCCGCGGCCAGTCGCACGATGTGGGAGCGGACTCGCCTCGGGTGGGAACCGCCGGTCCCAACGGCACACAGATGAACGGCGGGGAATCAGGGCGGCCAAGCAAGCCGCGGCACATGCATCCACAGCGGACAACGATGAATGAGATGAAGCGACGCGTCGCAGCCATCCTAGAGTTCATATCGCGCATGCAGGTCGAGATGGCTGTCGCCGGGGAGAACTCCTCCACCCCTACCGGCAACGGAGACCAGGCGAATGGCTTGCTGCTGAAGAGCATGGTCGATCAGATCGAGAGCGCCATGCCGATAGCAATCAGCGAGGGCGGCGAGTCCGGGCCTGCGACTACAGACGGCGACGGCGACACTTTGGCTCGCGAGAAAGACTTCAAAGAGCTAAGCAGCGTGGAGATGATGGACGTGCTGACCCGCCATTTGCTCAAATGGCAGCAAGAATACGGCAAGTTTGGCGAGCGGTAGTCCCAAATAATCAAGTCTGTGACTTGACTCTGGGCAAAGGCTAGCTGCCTCATGATACCTTTGCTTGCTCGACCAATATGATCAAAACCGATATGGTCAATAATGAATAATCTGTCTCTCTCCCTCTCGACTCTTTGCTTATCCATCCCACACTACACTTTCTATGACTCTCACCTCACCTCACGTCGTCCTCTCACCCTTCTTCTGCTGCATCCGCCGCTGTATATTAGGTTACCCGCTCTGGTCGGAGTTCTGAGGTCTTTTTGGTTTTTTGCTTTCTGTCGATCCGGCGTTGCGATTTACCCATCCATTCGACAGAGGACCCCGGCTCTTGTTCTTGTTCATTTTCATGTCATGTTCATGTTCCTTTTGGCTGTTGTCACTCTAGGATTGGATATGTTGGGTCTTTTTACTTTCTTTTTTGTCTTTTGTCTTCTGGGCCTATTCCTGCTCCTACTCTTGAGCTTTCCTGTTCTCTCCTGCCCATGATCAAGGACTGAGTATCTATCCATCTGGCTTGTGCGTTCAAATGCGTGAATCGGTTACACTTTCTCGGTGCGGTATGGTATATATAGGTTTCTTCTGCTTCTTCACGGTTATCACTATTGATTGCTGAGTGCTGGTGTTGATTATCCATTATCTCTATCTCTGGCCGGTTTCTTGGACTTATTTTGTTGGTGCTTATGTTCGGAGCTTGGGGATAATCTTTTGTTGATTGTTTTGGTTTGGTTTATATATGGCTTTGTTTTCTTTCCTAAGTATGGTTTCAGTCTAGTGTAGTGCGTGCGGTTAATGACATATACTCTTGTCTGGGGCTGTCGATAAAGTAGTTTGAGTGATGATTGATGCATTGTGTTGTGTTGCTCTAAAAACGCTGTCTGAGGTGAAGGGAATAGAAATATATATTGGCAAAGTCATTTTACTTTTACATCAAAATAAAGCAAAGTCTCATGCAAAATTGATCTGAAATACAATACAGAAATAGATGCCTGTCTTGATCAATTGAGATAACTCAACAGTGTGAGGAGGTTGCCAGCTAGATCGAATACTCCAAGCTGGGTACCAGAGGAAACAAGGCCTCATTCACCTCACCCAGTCAGCCACACACACCTCCTACACCCAAACTATCAGAGTACGCGTAAATAATCAATCTCTACAGAATACACACTCATGAAAAACATCTCTCAAGCTACACCATCATAAATTAAAGCAAACGTTATAGATAGAAAAACCCCCTAATTTGCATTATGGTCACTTAGATACAGGGTTGTCATTCAGTACACACACAAGGAATCCACATATTTTCCCCCTTTAGTTTAAAAACAAGACCCGTCCATCCATCATCCAGGGAAAAATCGTAACAGATACGTACAAAAGAAATAAGAAAAAGAAAATACACAAGCTCCAAAGCCAAAGCAATCAAGTCATGTCATGTCCAACAAGCCCCCCAAAAAGACAATTTACAGGCGGGAGCCGTGGATAACCTTGAAGTCGACGACGAGCTCGCGGCCACCGTCATTGATGACCAGGGCGCGGACAGAGCCCCGGCCATCAGCGAAGGCGTCGCGGATGCGCTTGAAGAGCGAGCCCTGAGGGATAACGGGGAGACCCTGCTTGACATCGCCGGTCTCGGTCATAGCGACGAGACGGCCATCCTCACGGAGGTCCAGGATGCGGTAGGTCTTGTAGACGGGGCCGAGCATGGTCTGGACAACCACCGAGGGAGAGGGGTTGGAGACGAAGCTCGACTCCTCCTGCAGCTGGCGAGTGAAGAGGTCAACGCCCAGGTAGCGGTGCTGGCCCGTCTGGGGGGAGACGGAGATGCGAATGACCTGGCAGGGACGGCCCTGGAGGATCAGGATGTCGCCAATGCGGATGAAGTGGCAGGGAATAGGGACGGTCTCGCCGATGGAGCCGCGGTTACGGGGCTCGACGATGCGCACGTCTTCGCGGATGGACTCGCTGAAGCGCGCTGGGCCGGCCTGCTCGTTTACCACAACCTCCTCGCGGTCGTGGTGGTGGAACGGGTGCATGATCCGGTCGGCGGCACGCTCGACGCCGCGGCGGAAGGAGTGGTAGTGGCCCTCGTCGTCGTAGTAACCCATCTTGTTGGATGCTGGGGCGGCGGAGTCGCGGGTGGTTTCGGAGACGCGGATGTCCGTGGAGACGGGCTGCTGCTGGCCGTAGGTCCGGTCGTACGAGACGTCGACGGACTGTTGCTGCTGGTTGCCGTAGGACTCTACGGGCTGGTAGCGACGGTCGTAGGAGACGTCGAGGTCGTAGGTGGGAGAGGTCCGGCGGCGGTAGTCTCTCTCAGTGAGGTCGAGTTGGGTCTCGACGGTCTGATCGTAGACGGGGGGCGGTCCTCGTAGCGGGTGGTGGACTGCTGGTAGTTGTTGGGGTAGCTGGAAGAAAGGATTAGTTTTTTTGTTTTGAGTCTTCCCAAGGTGGATATATAAACAAAAACACCCGTCACCGCTGATTGGGGCCAAAGTGGAGCCTGTCTGGCACTAATTCGGCCCAGGACTAAATCCGTAACGACTCTAGACCCAGATGGGCCGACCAAGACCAAATAGCGCCAACTTGCGAGAGACGACTCCACTGCGCCCAGTGGGGACGGAGGGGAAACAAAACAATCATAAACAAAAACAAACGAACTTACCGCTCACGGGTGAGGTCAACCTCAGCGGAGTAGTTTCGGGGCGAACGGCGGTCGTCTTGTTGCACACGCAGATCAACCTCTTCTTTTCCGTAGAAACGAGGGTTGGGGAGCTGAGCCGAAGAGCCTCGAGTATCTTCCCGTTCGACGCGCGAAGTGGCTTCGAGATTGACTTCTCCCTCTACTCTCGTTTGAGTAGTTTCAGAGACAGCGTCACTCCGGTACGACGACGGGAAGACACTGAAGGGAATGGGGACACGGGCGTCAAAGTCCAGATTGACTGACTTGACGGCGTCTTTTCTCGAAAGCCTTTCGAACTGTTAAATAACAACTCGAAAGACTAGACAAGAAAAGACTTGTTTTCTGGAGGAAGAAGAAGTCTTTCTCGAAAGAGATAACGTGGGTTAAGGGATGAAAGAGTAGGTTTAAGCTTGGGGAAGAATAGAGGAAGAAGAGGAAGGAATGGAAGAGGGCGAGGAGCAACGAGCGTGTATTTATGGCTGGTTGTTTGTTTACTGCCCTAAGCCGGATCGGGGGGCCCAGCAGTACCTCGGCCAGCACTGTCACCAGCACTCTCTAGCTTGGCCATCTGTCTCTATTCCGGACTTCGTTTCGCCGCCAATTATTTCCAGAAGTATGTACCCAAATCTACAACTCCTCGCTACATTCCTCCCATCTGCATCTCTTACCCGCCCCCGGAGTGGTTGGGGAATGCTCCCTTCAACACGCTTCACATGGTTGACAGGGGAGGCTGGCCCAGCGTGGGAAACCCACCCGTCACCATGGCAACCATCGGCCCCGGGTTGAATCGGATCTGGTTGGTGCGGCCCACATGTGTTTGTTTGATGGATTAGTTATTATTTTTGGGGCAGGGCACATCATGATTGACACTCCAGAAATGCCCCTGACTGGAATAAATCAAGAATCGGAGCAATTGAGGCGTAAGAGTTGACTACCACCTGAGACACAGCCTGCAAGTTGAGCTGCCAACCACGCAGTCCAGCCTTTCCTTTCCAGCTCATCCTGCAGCGAGCGGGCTTGGGCCAGATCCTCCAGCCTTTCTTTCTCCGCTAGTTCCGCCACTCGGCAACCGTGTTCGCTGGACGTGTGGCTGGTTGCCAGGGCACTCGCAACTCGACTCCACTCCTGGCGCCATGATCGCCGCGCTCGAGAGGGGGGTTTGACTGGACTTGTGATCCTAGCACAGCACGGGGCTGGCTGGCCACCTAAGCTATGCCTGATCTCCATGCAGAATTCGTACTTAATTTCATAGTAGGGGCAGGGGGTTGATTCGCACAGCAATTGATCCATGGTGGAATTATTATTACCATATCTATGAGATAAAACACAATACTCTAAAAGGCGAAGCCATCAGGTATGTCTAAACGAGGGACAAATAGTACAGAAAAGGTGTGTGAGTGAAACCGAACCAAATCCAAAAAAATAACAAACCAGAGGGTATCAAGGGAAGTATACACACACACCACCACCATGTGGGAACGAGTGACTGAATCTCACAACGAAAGCAGGAAGAATGGCTGCCAAGTCCAGAAAAAAAGACAAGAAAGAAAAGATGTGAAGAGGCGTATACATCGGTCATTAGGATTAGATCCGGGAGGATATCAAAGTAGGTAGTAGTTTTGGGACGACCACATCGGCCAGTCACGGGTCTCGTTTGTCAACCCAGGAACACAAAACATGAACAGAGAAAGGAAGTGGGAAAATTAAAGCGCGGGTACGTGGTCGAACCAATCTTTGTGCAAGTGAAGAAAAAGCGTAAAAAAAGGGCTCGACACTGCAAGTACCCAACAATAATTAAGCCTTGAGGCGGAGAGCCTTTCGAAGTAGCGGGAAGCGTTTCTTTCGCCCAGAGCCGGAGATCACCACGTCTCGCGCAGAAGGTCCATGATCTTCTTCCGTGGCAGCGACAGAACTGCCGTCGTTCGTATTTGCGACGGGGCTGGACACCCGCGGCGAAGTGGGCTCTTTGGCTGAGCTATCGGGTGCGTTGTTGACCATCACAGTTCCGTTATGCCCGCCGTTTTGTGTAGACGGCGCAGGCCGCGAGGGTTGTTGGGGAGACGAGGGAGTGCTATTGCTCGGCTGCTCTTCGGTATTAGACAGCAGCGGCCAAGAGACACCCGCTCGCTTTGACCCTCTCTTCAGCAGCTTAGGCGACGAGGTCGGTTGGTCATGGTTGGAGCTGACCGTGGTTACCGTGTGTCCACGAGATCCATTCACAGCGGTCTCCTGGCGCAGCTGCTCGCGTTCCAGACGCGACCGTTCCAGCGGCGTATCTCGCCGAGAGGGGCTCTCGACGTCTGCTTTGCGGATTCGATGATCTGGATTCTTAGACTTCTTAAGACCGAGCCGAATCAAAAGACCCGGTTTGCGCCCGCCAGGCGGCTGCATAAGGAACTCTTCCAGTTCCCTTTGCGTCATGCCCCGCTGGCGAGCCACGGCTGCCAGTCCAGACATACTTCCAGGTGCGTTCTGACCGCGAGACCCTGGCGGAGTGGGCTTTGATCGCGGTGCAGCCTTGGATAGTCGTTGCGCTTGGCGGCGATCTTCTTCCGAGCTGTCCTCCAGCTCGGTCGAATCCCCATCACGCTCATCCTTCCGGCGCGGAATACCACGAACAGGCCGCAGAGTATTATTGGACTCGTCTTCATCGCTTGAATTCGCAAAGCGACTGCGGAAAAATTGGGGGCGAGTGTCGCTGTCCTCATCATCGGACTCGACGAATCGCGATGCCTTCGATTTGGGAGACTTCTTGGTGACCGTCGCTCTTGGGCTCTTATTATTGGTCGAGAAGAACGAGAATCGTTGCTCGCCTCCAGAGCTCGGGCTCCGCAGAGTCTTCCGCATTGTAGCTGTTGCCGAGCCAGAAGAGGTTGGTCGGTATTCCGTGGGCGAGTCCGGCTGCCCTGATGGCGACCGTCGCTGAGCACGTCCCCCGCCAGATCTCAATGTTGTTCGCATAGTATGCGAGGCGTCTCGTCGGGAAGGAGGGCTGGCCCGAACAAAGCTACTAGAAGAATCGCTGCCATTCGACCTGGCTCTGCGAAGGGAAGGAGGAAAACCGGGTTGAAAAGCTGGACCAAGAGAGATTGGCCGCGGTTTGCTTTTAGTGGATCCTGAAGAACCGGCATTGCTTGACCATCGAGGGTTTTGAACAGAGGTATCCGCAGACAGGGGTCTCTTCTGTCTTTTCGACTCCGACTGAACGGAACCGTTCTGCACGGCTGGGGTTCGAGCTTGCGACTTCGGTTGAAACAGCGGAGATTCAGGCTGGGGGGTATTGCCCAAATTTGTCTGCTGACCGAGGCTTGCGTAGGCGTCGCGGCGCGAGCGTCTTCGGCTGCCTCTTCCGGAATGTCACCAGACTCGCCGTCCACAGGTGTTGTTCGGCTGATAGGCTTCGGAGTAGTATCGCGACTATCCAATGGTGCTGGAGACCTGGGGATCGGCCGGCTATCAACAATAGCATTAATAGACCCAAATCCATCTCCATCGAAGTCTTCGGCTGCGTCGCTGTAGATGCTATCTCCAGACTCTCCTTCAGTGTCCTCCACGTCATCCAGCTTTGGAACAGCGCTCACCACCGCCGGGGTCGTTGAAACTGCTGCGTTTTTCAGGCTCTTGTCTGAACCCGACGGTGGGAATCCGCCCGGAATAATGTATCCTTCCATGCTCGACCGGTCCATGCTGGGTCTCGGCTCCTCCACCTGGGGTGTGGCAGGTTGGACTGCGATAGATGGTACTGACGTTTCCGATTCTACACCGGAAAATGGCTGTTGCTCAGTTATTCCCGCGATGGCTACTCCAGCCGGTTTCTCGTCTGGGTTGACCGTTGCTTGAGGAGCAGGAGGAGCTTCATCGACAGACATTTGCTGGAGGATGTTAGTCCCATGTAGTTGGTGAGCTTCCTTATGTTGAGGTCTGTGAAGTACACCTGCGAGAGCGTGATCGTTTGAGAAAGAGACGCCCGGGCCTTCCATACCCTCCGACGAGTCACTTGATTCATTGTCGCTGAATTCCGGTATTGACGATTCCTGGAGGCCGGCGTCCCGATTGCCTCGTACGCTGCCGAACGAGGGCAATGCTGGCCGGGGTTTCATCACCTCGTCGAAGTCATTTCTAGAATCATGTTCCAATGGTGACGAAGGCTTCTTTTTGCCAATCCCAAACCAACTCATGCGAGACTTGGATTTACCCGTGGGCGAGTCAGGAGTAAGCTCCTCTGGCGAGGTAGGAGGGCTGGCTGCGATGCCGACGATCTCCGCCTCGTCATCAAAGCTTACTTTGACGGACCGCTTCTTCGCACCAACGCGGGACCCTTCGTCAGAAGCCACTGAAGTGCCATCTGATATGTCATTGGCAAGGATCCCAGCCTTTCGATCTGGGGACAAAGAGTTGCCGCGATGTTTCAGGGCCGATTTGCCAGGAGAAATGGATCTCGGCGGCGGCTCATGGACCTGTTCCCCAGCCGCATTGACCGAAAGCCACTTGGAAAAGCGGGCTGATCGGCCTGGGCTGCTCGACTCGCGCAAATGCTGTTGCTGACTAGCTTCCTGTTCAGACAAGGGAGAAGCTTGATTCGGTATCACTGCCTCAACGTGATCAATGGTCGGAGAGGCACTCATCAATCGATTGCCACGCCCTTGGGTATTATGAACATCGGTATCGGCAATCTCGGCAGGCCTGTTGTCTTCAGGAACGGCGGTCGGCCATTGGGCATGGAGGGCCCGAGAGGAAGGATGGTCAGCCTCCGGGCTGCTGATACTGACTGGTAGCTCATCTTCACTATAGTCCCCCTTTGAGCTGGAGGTCACTGGATTATCTTCCACCCGCTCCTGGCGTGTGTGTCCTGTGTCCGCATTTGAACTGCTTTTTGGAGCAATGACTGCCTGAGCCGCCGCAACCGCAGTGCCAACTGGAGGACCGCCTGCGGATTTGTGTGCCAAATGGCTCCCCTCCGGTGCGTGCGTCCTCGGCTTCGTCTTGACAGGCTGTTCAGAAGCCCGAGTGACCGACTGCTGGATACCCGAGACCTCCGTCGATGGCAACTCATGAATCGCCTCTTTCAAAGTCATAGATCGGTTCTGGGGCGGCCCAGTCGGGGAGTTTGGACGCGCACCCATCGGATAGGAAAAATTCACCGAATTCCGACTCGAAGAACGCTCCAGCTCCGGCACCGAACCCAAACTACTAAATCGCTTGTGGTTGTATGAGTGAGCTGCAGCTGCAGCGGCCCGCATATCCCGATCTCCGTCCGCACTCATCCCTCGCGTCTTCTTCGTGCGGGGCGAACCCGGAGATCCCAGGGTCGATCGTGTCGCTGGCTCCATGCTCACACAACGACGATTGGCGGGCTGTCGCGATGAATACTGTTTTGGTAGTGACGGTAATGGAGGCACGTCCACGGGCTCGGGGTGATTCGAAGGCCTGGTCACTGGGCCATGGGGCGAGGACTCGCGGAAACTCCGCGTGCTCATGGAGCTCTGGCTGCTTGATCGGCGTAGAGGTCCACTCATGCTTGCTGAACGACGTACACTGGCCGGGCCAGTTTGCGGCGGCGACTGCGTCGAGGACCGCCGCTGCACCATTCGCTTTGTCTGGACATTTTCGACGGGCGTTGGGGTCGGCGTGAGACTACGTAGAGCAGTTGCGGCAGCCGCGGAGGACAGGCTGTTGGACGACGGTTGGGATCTTAGAAAGGCTTGGCTGGCGGCGCTCTGCGCTGACTGCGATGCGGACGTGGAGAGAGGCTAGATCAGGGGAGAGGTTAGTTTCATGCACCAGCATCGTCATTGATTCGGGGTCGGACTCGAGTGGAAAGGGGGCAGGAAAAATGACGGGGAGTCGGATCGAAGAATGTGACATACCTGGTGGTGATGAGAGGAGCTTCTTTTTCGGCGCCCGAACATGATTGCTGCTGGCAGGCGACGAGCGAGGGTGGAGGGCCAGCCGGACACTGCAGGGTGCAGCGCCGGGGTCGAAGCGGGTCGGTCGGGATGGAATTGCTGGTCACGATTGTCCCCGCGGGTGTGTGGAAGCAGAGGAAGAGGGAAAGCGGAAGAAGGCGATCGAGAATAATGCGACTCGAGCCGGATGCGAAAAGTAAAACGAGAGAAGAGGTGGGGGAAAGGGAGGGACGAAAAGAGGGAATTGGGAGGACCAAGAGTGAAAAAGGCGAAGTTGGTTGTGAACTTAGAGTGAGTGGGCTTGCGTCATGACTTAATTACCCACCGAGCATCGGTACCTTCCTTGCTGACTTTCAGGCCAGGGACTAACTACAACGGGCCCACGGTTCTATACTTCCAGTATAACCCTATTACACATGCCCTCACTCACTACTATGGACTCTCCCCCCGACATCATCAGTCGCTCCATCCCAAACTACAGCCTTGAACTTCACATCCTAGACGCAATTCCCCCCAAACCCGCGACCGACCACTCATGCTACTAAGTCGCGAATCACAACACGTAGCTAAACACGCGGTCGAGTCTCACTTGATGGATATCATTAAGGCTTACTAGGCAGCAGATAGGAATCAATGTGTAAAGGACTATCAATCCCTCGAATGTATTTGTCCAGATACGGCACCGGAGAAATGAAAAACCCCACGCCCACGAACGCCAGAAAGATCTCAGATATGTTTCATGCCGGGTCAGGATGGGATTGCATTTTGAGAGAAGAAACACAGCGCATATCAAAGAAAAAGGGTATGAAGCAAGGAAACCAAGAAGCAGAAAACACAAAAGCAGAGCGCACACAAATGCAACTATTACACACACAACAACAATTAATAACTATCTACGCCAACGCGCCGAAGCCGATAGCCAGCAGCAACGGCAGCAGCGCCACGGCCGAGCGCGTCGGGAGTTGCAGCATGTTAGCCCCCGACCCGATCCCGCTCGTCGTGTACATGTACTGGAAGGTGAGGTCGCTCGAGTTGAAGCAGTTGTGGCGGTTCACTTCTTGGATTTCGGGGTCGTTGACTGCTGCGAATTCGATGTCGACGCACTAGGATCATCAATTAGCATATTATTTTTGGACAAGACAGCGCAAAATAAAAAGAGACGTACGTTGTAAAGAGCAGCGCCATGCTTCGCCGTCTCGACTACTTGGATTGTAGCGAGATCGCCCGGAACCACGCTGATGTTGGCGGGCAGAGGAACCTGCGGCAGACAGAAGGTGCCCGGGTACGGGTTATTCGAAGGGCCGGTGATCTGGAAGGGCGGGACGACCGGGTGGCTCATGTTCAGCGGGATGGCGCCGAGGCCGATATTCACGTAGATGAGTGCGGTCTGATGGCCCTGGAACCAGCCCGGCTGGACCGCGATGGCACCGCCCTGAACGGGCCATTTGGTGCGATTTGTCGATGTCGGCATGCCGCCGCCTATTTTCGAGAGTGGTTAGTTGAGGATTCAAGATTTCCCTCAAAGGCAAGCAACGAAAAAAAGGAGATCCCCTTACAAGGATAGATCCATTCCATGCCGTAGGGATACATGTATGTGCCATTTTTGGGGTCGTAGGCCACGCCCAGTCCGTTGGTTGCTTGGACAGTGCCGTTCGAGTGGAGGTTGTTCCCTCTGTAGCCCGGGTAGGTGATGATGGTGTGGGCATCCGCGAGACCGAGACACAGTAGCAGCAGTACGAGGGACCACTGCGCTATCGAGTGTTGCAAGCCCATGGCGAGAGAGTGTGTGCGTGTGTGGATGTATACAAAACGAAGGAATTAAAGAAGCTTGGAAAACCCGGATCATCGGGGAAGCGTCTTTTTTGAGGGGCACCGCTTTCCATGTCTTCTTGCCTGTGCTGGTGTGACCGACTGTGCAGCTGGACGAGTGGTCGATCACGGCCGGCTGCAAGTGCCATCACTCGTCGCACTTGACTGAGCATGCTGATTTGCGGACGCCCAAGCGCCCGGGCTGGCGCTAGACCGGGTCTTGCCTGGTGCCGGTGGAGAGTGTTCTGCATCGGGCGCTTAGCTGTGACGGGATCGCATTAGTCGAAGCTGTTACTGTAGGTGTCAGCTAGGTAAATAGTAGTTAGTGAGAGTATATGAACGCTTTATTCGGTCAGCCATGGTCAAGGTATAGCAGAAGTAGAAAAGTAATCAGCAGTTCTGGTGAGGAATTAGGGCTCGGAAGAGGAATTGTATGCGAGTGATGTAAGCACCGCCAAGAACCTCGAATTATTCCCCGCGAAAAAAAAAACCCCATTCATCCCATCGTCTATATCGTCATCTACACCTTGACTATATCAATACTCACCCATAATGCCGATATACCACACTATATAATACCCCTACACGATGCCCCACACTTCGCGCACCCGGCGCACAACTCCCCAAAAGCGGATCCAAGTGACCGACAACGACGGCTGGACCCATGTCACCAGCAGCAGCAACGTGCGGCGCGTAATGCGCACAACTACGCACCGCACTAATACACCCTTGGACAACAATAACAAGGAGGAGGTGAAGGAGGAGGAGCTCGTGCTGGCACCCGCCGAAGCACCCAGCCGGCTAACCCTTGCGCAGCTGCAGACGCAGCTCGAGGGCCACAGCGAGAAGTGGGCGGACTCGCGCTCGTGGGCGTGGGTGAGGGAGGTGCTGCTCCAAAGCTTAGCAGTGACAGAGTCTGTCAGTAGTCCGGCTGCTGCTCCTCCGGTCGAGGCAATCGTGTGCATCGGGCTCGGCAGCCCGAGCGGCTTCCTGCGCGGCGGCTGGGTTGACCGCCGCACGGTGTGTCTCTATCAGCTCGCTGCGCTGGTAGCGATCAAGGTTTTAGTGAGGCGCCAACAGGATCGTCCGGTCCCAGTATATGCACAAGATCCCGTGTTCAACACGCTCGACCGCGAGCTTCTCGAGTCCCTCGGTATCACAGTCGTCGAGCACCCGGCCGCATTCGATCTCGTTACCCAACACTCGGTGGTCTTCTGTCCCGGCGCAGAGTCCAAGCATCTCCTGCAGATCTTCTCGTCTCAGCCGCGGATCCTCTTCTGTAATCAGATCGACACAATCGACCCACAGTTCAGGTCCTTGTTGGAACACACACGGCCGCAGTTAATGCCGGATTTCCCTCCGTGTGAAGAAGCATTTTGGCGGTTGGCGTTATACGTGATGCATGGTGATTCATCCGATTGAGCATTTCTCGGCTGAACCACCTTGAACTTGGATTGATATATTCATATGGCGGTGTTATGGTGCTTTGGAGCTCCTTTGGGATAGATGGATAGATATTGGCTTACAACTGGCTTACAGCATTTGCATATAATGAAGATACACCCATGAGATTCAAAGCAGCCCATTTTGGCAGAACATATTCACATTAAACATGACCCAACGCACAAGAAAGAAAAATAATCCCATCCATTTCTCACGCATAAAAAGAACCCAGGTATCGATATCAATGCCACCAACTCGTGCGAGATAAGAAACATGGTCCCGAGAAACAGACCGTCCAGAAAGACAAAACGTAAAGTCCGCTGATGAAGAGGTACAAACAAAGATGCTGATCGATAGTGTAAACGCCAGTGGAAGTAGGTAGAAGCGGGCCGGGAGGAGATACGGGCCATGAAGAGTAGTATGGCGGCGAAGGAATGCAGAAAGGTTTGCAGAAAGGTTGGTATAAGTTGTCGGAGGAGAGGATCGGGCGGAGAGGAAAATTGTGCGAAGAGGCGAGGCGAGAGGAGTGAGACAATGGATATATGCACAGATGTTTTTTCTTGATCATGATCCCGTTAAGATAGCCAGACGGCCAGTAATCATGACGAGACAGTCTTGCCGTTGCAATCTGGAATCTTGAGGCCCGGTTTGACATTGCGCCCGGCGTCCATCAGGCCCCACTTATCTTCCCAGTCTTTGCCGGGGGTGTTGTAGATGACTTTCCAGGGCTCGTCGAAGGCCTCGAACCTGTGGCAGACAGTTAGGTAGATGTCACAAAGAGCCCAACAAAAGAAATACATACCAGAAATACTCGGTGCCATTCTCCAAAGCCTGGCAGACCCAGTCCGACATGTAAGTGTTCATGTTATCAATGCTGGCAATCGACCCTGGCGTCGAGGGATTACACTCAGGGCTCTCGCCGCAGTCTTTACCACCGGTGCTTGGCCAACCGGTCTCGGAAATGATCTGCTTCTTGCTCGGTTCACCCTGCGTCAGGTCCACGTCGTGCGATTGCCAGAAGTCCCATGTCCAGGAGGCGGCGACCTTAGCGCTGACACCGGCGAAGAAAGGGTGGATGTTGGACATGACCATGTCACAGGCAGCCACCAACTCGGCGTTCCAGTTATCGCCTAGGTCGGATGTGCCGATGGGCAGGTCGACGTTGTGCTTGCCGGCCCAGCTGCGAACCTGCTTGATGTAGCCCAGCAGGTTGGTCTCGGCGGTTTGGACATCGGGTCCTGCGCGGTACAGAGCCTCGTTTCCGACAATGATTCCCCTGAAAATCGAGAGGTCCTTGGCTTCACTTAAGACCTTGTACAGCTGGTCCAGCTGGCGATTGACAGTCGTGTGGTTAGAATCGATCCACACGCCCAACCAGACCTTCATGTCGGTCAATTCGAGCCGGTCGATCGCATGCAGCACCATCTCCGTCTGGTTGCAGTCCGTGCCGTACAACCGGACGTTGTTGGTCAGCTGCGTCAGCACTGCCATGTCGCGAGTGACGTTGTTCTGCGAGGGCGGATACTTGAGGCATAGCGGATATTGCACTCCCCACGGAGTGTAGTCGATGCCGGGGAAGACTTTGTGCAGCTCTGGGTTGTTCATCAAATCCTTAATCTCCGCGGAGTCCTTGCC